TGTTAGCTTGGGAAAACACACCTTGTCAACTAAATAAAAAAAAAAACATCTTTTCCAGAGCCTTGTTTTATATGTAGTTTATATTATATAGTTTTATATGTAGTTTACTTTTTGTCTTCCTCAGGAAAAGTGCTCTGGTCCATGCAGAAAGCTTCATTCCCTGCACCCAATAGGTGGTTCTGGTTGGTGGTAGGGCTCATTCTCAGTCATTCTGTGCTGATTTTTGCAGTCCTCAGTGGGGAGTGCTTCACCTTCCTTCTGTCAGCTGCCTTTGATCCTGTCCCAGTAATGGCTGGAGCTCGTGGACTGGAGCAGCTCAACAAAGACAAACTCAAAAGTTCAGCTCAGTTAAAGCAGAAGGACCTGCAGTAGTGCAGGACTGTTCAGGGCTGTGCAGGAAGACTCCTTACCACAGTCTGGACTTTTTTCCTTGTCAAATCCAGCCAACACCAGGAATATGGTGATTTCTCTGCTGCATTTCTTTTGAAATCACCCCTTTTGCACTCTGATCCACCTTTGTCACAGGGTAACTTCATCAAAATACCCTTGGTACTTAATATTTGTGCCTTCTGCATGTCTTGTGTCCTGTCCCTCCCTCACCCTCTATTCCCAGCATTCCCAGTAACAGCCTGGGAGCTGTTTTGCAGTGTTTTTTCAGCTGAAAGATGCTTCTTTTCCTGCTGAAGAACAGCAGCACAGGAGAAAAGAAATGCTGGAGAGACTGGCTCAGGAGCTGTAAACTTGCAGAAAACATGTGAGCAGTCCAAGCCTAAAGCCAGCAGCTTGTGAGGCTTTCTCACCATGGTTTATGCTCCTGCAGGCTTTTAAGGATCACTTGGTCAGTGATTTTCCTGAATAGGATGCTGACTTCACCACCTTCCTCCCAAAGGCTGTCAGGTCAGTGCTCTGTGGTCCTTGCCTGAGGTCTCTGCTATACCAGTTCTTGACATTTAAGATACAAAGATTAAGCTGTCAATCTGACTGAATTTAATTCTCAGAGTTAACATGTCTGTTTGTGCCCTTTGCTGAGGGTTGAGTGTGATATTCTTCCCGTCACGGGTTTCTGAATCGTTATAAATCAAGCAGAAAAATATCCACAGCCTGGAGAGAGAAATTGAGATCCAGCTCCCTGGGAGTTCAGGGTTCTTCCCCTCCTCAGATGAAGGGCAATGCAGTGCAGATCATGCTGTGCACATGGTACCAGCTTTATTTTCCAGAGGTGGTTGCTGATTTCTGTCAGGCACCCTGCCCTCATAGTTATTTATCACTCTGCACCATCTTCACTCTTTGAGGTCTTGGCCAAGAGGCTCCACAAGCTTCTCCTGCTTCTCTGCCTGTACTTCCACAGCCAAACCCTCATTTTCTCATTCCTGTGCCTTCCCTTTGCTCCACAGCTGTGCAGTCACAGTGATATTCTCAGTCAGAGCAATACCCTTCTGCTGAGGATTTTAGCTGTCCCTACAAAATACCTTTTCTTTGTGGTGGGTTTGGTGACCATTTCTGCTTCCTAACAGGTTTGGGGCACATCATATCCCAAGCAGCTGTGCTTTTGCCATGTTTGGGAACCATTCTGGCTTGCAGGTGATTTTTGTGGCCATGCAGTGCTGTGTCAGTGCATCCAGCTTCATTTCCTTGGGCTGCAGGCCCTTCCGCACAAACATTTTTGAGCCCCGGATGGTAGTCTCAGCAGCAGCAGAGGAATTCCCTTCACATCTGTCTTTCTTTCAGTGTTTTCATGGTTGGAGAGTCTCAGCTGACACCTGCCAGCGTGGACTTTGTTTAGAATGGAGAAACACAGTTTGCATGGCCCGGCTCGTATTCCTCATCCTTCCGTCCCGGGCAAGAACTGCTCAGCTCTGCATTAATTCCCCATTTGTGTAATGGTCCCAGACTGGCCTTTGTCAAAATATACAAAGATTAAAGCCCCAGTTTGTTGAATGGATTTGTAAACTTTATGAAGTATGTGCTTTCAGCAGCTGGGTATCTTTTTTAAACAAGTGTGTTCTTGATAGGGGAGTGTTTTTATTTCCCCTTCTGCACGAACAGTTTTTGCGACCCTGCCAAGCTCGACCGTGGAGAGCCATAATCTGTATGAAACTGGTGCTGAAAGGAGGTGGGGAGGGATGGGAAAATCTGTCCAGAGCCACCATGAATTCACAACCTCTAGCTGAACATTGACACCACTTTCTCTTCATCCCTCTTGGTTGATTGATTTTGAAGTATGTAGGCTTTGATATCAAGTACACGTTAAATTTGAACAGGAGCTGCAGATATGCAGAAACCAAAAGCTATCCTTTAAATAAATGTATTGTTTTAGTCATAACAGATTATGTTTTCTTTTCTGAGGCACTGAGAGGGGTGTTCCAGCTTCAATCCATGCCTGCTGATAGAGTCATTACAGCTTGGGGCTTGGTTAGATGGCTGGAGTATGACATCTCATCTCTGCATAAACTCCTTTAAAATATTGAGACGATTAAATACATTCACTAACATCAGTAGTTTGCTTTTAGTGATTTGTCATGGATGATCAAAACTAACAGAGTCTTATCCAGATCCTACTAGATCCAGTGGAAAAAAATTACTTCTGGGTTAAGTACTTTGAGCTGATCCCAGGAGTATCAGAGGAAAGAGATGTTTGCCATGGTTCATAAGCTAAGGAAAACTAAAACTGACATTTATGCTTATGGACTATTTAGAAATCTTTACAGTGCATCACGGACACGTTGCTCTGTTCTGTTTTTAATTGATTTGATAAGCCTGGTTCAGCCACACTACTTTAAAAAAAAAATCCCTGCTTAAGAAAAACAGTGTTTTGGCAGGTCAGCGAGATGTTTCCTTCTGCAGGGTAGGCACAGAGTGAGCAGGAATGTACCTTTTCATGCCATGTGTATTTTTAGTCCTGGGTCTGGCTTCTCACACATGCAGGAACCGCAGTGTAACACTGAAGCGTTGCCTTTTCAAATAGATGATGCAGATTATCCAAACTGATAACACTTGGTGGTTCCTGGGTCTGAGCCTTCGGTATGTGCAGTTTTACATTTAACAAAGCAGTGCTGGGAAGAGCTGGGAACTCCAGGTTGGTGGATGTTTTAAAAGCAACCACAGATGGAAAACAAACTTAGAGAAATGTGATTGAAAGGTCCTTGCTCAGAGGTTAGGAAATATGAGATTAAATCCAGACTGAAGGGTTTAATTTGACCATCCTGTGTACGTGCCCAGTGTGCTATTCCATGGTCACACTGCCAGTTTTCTACCAAACCTCCTGGTCACCCACTGCCCTTGTGTGTCCCAGGTGAATGATGCTGCCTTAACAAGCTGGTCAATATTTTGTGTTCTCTCATTGCCCACTTCCCCCAGTCTCTTGTGTTGCTTTGGAGTAATACCATAATTTGTAAAACAAAGGTAAAAAATACCTCAACCCCAAACCAACCAACCCAAACCCCACAGAGAGAAGATGGACATGCCTGTGTTGCTCTATTCTGTCAGTATTTGTTGCTTCAGTTACTGCAAAAAAACCCTGCAGTTGCCAGTAGTGTGTGTATATATCTGTATTTCATTTTATTTTTTAATCAAACCACTCTTTTGGCTTTCTGAGTTACTTGGTACACAGCTCATAGTGTTTCCCCTTCATTTCTGCAGATTGAAATCTCTTTTCCCCTACCTGGGACTCTTGTATCAGCTGTGGTTGCATTTGTGGTTGCAATCCTCCAGGCTTTTTTCAGGGGCTGGTGTCCATGGATCAGAGGGGACCTGTGGCAGTGGTGCTGTGCTCCAGCAAGTCCACATCATTAAAGAAGTTGTAGTGGGAATGAAAAGGAATCGAGCTCTCAGTGTTGTGATCTGAGCGTTACCTGAAGGGCGTTTGAGTTTATGTCTTTGCTGGGAGAGGCTGATGAGGCAGCACGGGCAGGGCATGAATTGCTGATGAGAGATGTGGTATCCAGCAGTGTTCTCCAAATACAGAGAGACCTTTTCCCACCCCAGCAGCAATTCCCTGCCCCCTTGGAGAAGCCATCACACAGCAGGGTTCGCACGCTCCAGCCTCAGCAGCTTTTCTTGGGAGCACTGCGGGAAAGCTCCTCTTTGGCTTGTCCATCCTGTTGGTGAGGGGCTCACAAGAGCAGTTCTGCAGGGTGTGTTTGAGAATGGGATATCCAGAACCCACCTGTGTCATTAAAAATCACCGCTTGTTTGCCCAGAGCCAGCGCTGCTGGCTCAGCTCTGAGGCTTTGCTGGTGCTGCTCAGGAGAGGAGCAGATTTTGGACACTGGAGCATCCCATCCTGCAAGCTGAACCACTCTAGAGGGGCTTCACCTATATTCACCTGTATTTTTTTTTAAGGAAAAAGGAAAAAAAGAAACAAACAAACCAGAACAATGCAAAGGGAAAGCACCAGCAAGAGAACAGTATGTTCTTTGTAATGCTTTTTCTTTGGGGACATCTATTGCTGGCAATAAGATGAAATCACTGAAACCTTCCCTGAAGCTACATCTGCCACTGCCTACATTTTCCAACCTCAGTAATAAACGAACATTTGCCATTGTTCCTTTCTTCTGGATTTCATTTCTTACAGATTTAACCAGCGCTATTTACCACAAGGCATTCAGCTCTTGCTTAAAGCCGAGGTCTATGCCAAGTCCCTAAAAATATTCATAGCTCCAAAGAATCTGGTTTTAAATAATACCATTAAAAGTAGACGATATTAATACAACAGTTCACACTGAGTTCACGTGCTGCTGATGCCAATGTATAAAAATGATGGAAGAAGCTCTAGACAAGACTACCTTGAAGTGGGGAACAAAATCTTTTGTACCTTAATACTGGTTTTTGCTCACACTTTCTTATCCCAAAACACTGAAAACTTTAAAGATCTGTGTTACAGTTTTGCTTCTCCTGACTTGGAGTGCTGTATTTTTAACTGGGGAGCGTGGGGTGGGTCATGGTGGCCAGTTTCAGGGTGTTTGGGAAGCAAGGTTCATGCCACTACCTTCTTCCCACAGGATGCCATAGTGATCCATGAAGTTTATGAAGAAGGAGCAGCAGCCCGAGATGGCAGACTTTGGGCTGGAGATCAGATTCTAGAGGTAAATGATGTTCTCTGTGTCTGTGTTTGGTTGTGGAGACTTGTTTTCAGTTCAACAGAGGTTCCTTGTAGGTTGAATAAGATCCATTCTCAAGGCTTCCCTTCTGTCACTAAGAACGTCCTGAAAAATTCATATATCCTTCTATATTCATATAAACTGAAGGTACAAATTGAGAATACATTAAATTTAATTGAGCAAGGCAGTTCTTGAATTACATAGTTCAGCTGTCATGTCCAATAGCTTAGTATTATTCATCTCTTTAATCTTTCATTCGGAGACCTGCGCTCCTGACACCGCTCCCGTATCTCTGCTCTGCCTGAAATCCAAATATTGAGCTGGGGTGAGGAGGAGAAGGTGGCTGTAGGATCCCTGTGAGCATCCCTGCCAGGATCCCTGTGAGCATCCCTGCCAGGATCCCTGTGAGCATCCCTCCCAGCATCCCAGTGAGCATCCCTCCCAGCATCCCTGCAGAAGCCACCAGCTCCCCCAGGCCACACTTCACACATCTGGGGAATAGCTGCTGTGAATAAATGTGTTTTTCCCCCAGACAAGCACGAAAAAGGTGGAGGGAAAGGGTTAAGAGAGAAGTGTTGGTCTGCAAATGAAACTTGCGTCAGGCAGGGGTTCAGCGCAGCTGCTTTGCAGCTCTGCTGTCAGCTCAGGACAAATTCCCAGCATGGCCATTAAGGCCTCAGTGTGTAGGGTTAGGAAAATAGCAAGGGCTACTTGGGGAGTTGTCTTTACAGCTCTTGCACTGCAAATATTTTTGTTAGCGTTGAGGTTGAATGTTGTTTTGGTTTTATAAATAACGGGGTATTAACAGAGCACGATAATTAGGGGGTAAAAATGGAGCAGGTTAATTAATTCTTCTCTGGCCAAACAGGAAAGTGCTAATGTTTGTGAGCCATAATATTGTTATTATTTCAGCTTTTGAAAGCTGTATTAATCAAAAACATGACTGAATTAGTTTCAGATTAGTGTGATAAAGCACACATAGATGCCTGTGTCGAGAAAGAATATCAATGCACTTATAAATAAATGCGTGCAGAATTAGTACAAAAGAATATAGAGACTAAAGATTAGTCTTAATTATCTCAATGTAAAATTAGATATGATTGTAGTTTTGCATATCTAGAAATTCTGAGAGCAATTTTCATTGCCTTAAAACTTATGGGAGTGGATTAACATTTGTGGTTATTCTGTTCCAGTTCATGCTACTTCCTAAAGAGACTTCAGAAATGTCTAAGTATTGATATATTTTGGTATGAAGAAGTAAAAGATGATTTTTTTGACAGAATATTGGCAAACACCTTAAAGGGCACTTGTGCATCGGGCTTGGCAAAATTAGATTAAGTTTCACTTTGCAATAGGGTTTTTTTTAATGGAACATTTAAACAGTACTTCTTGTTCTGCCTGACATGAGTAAAATGCTGAAACCTTCTCAGGTTATGGTAAGAGAAGCGTAGCTGGCTGCTCCAGCAGTGGTCTGGTGTGCCATCTATTGGGAAAAAAGGAAAATCACCATTTAATACATCCTGCCTGGGATTCTCTGTGGCCATTTATTTGCTGGTGTTTCTGATTCCTTCTGTTTTCGTCTTGATTATGTTACAAAGCTGGGGGAGAAGGGATTTGAGTACTGAGGTACACAGGGAGCTCAAAGGGGCATGTCCCACTTTGCAGTTGGAAAAAGAAGCATTCCTTGAGGTTCCAAAGGCTTGAGATGAAAAAGAAGGAAAGAAGACCCAAAACTTCCAAGCCCAAACATTCTGATTGTTGGGATTTGCTCCAGGCAGTGGCACAAAGCTCCGAGCTCACTCTCCACAGGACACCCAGGATCTCAGCCCTCTGGAAATGGGAACACTCAATTAGAGCACCAGGGGGTGTCAAAATGACAAATCTGTGCTGTCACCCACGGGCAGGGTGTGATGGAAAGATCATTTACCCGTGTCATTGGGAAAGCAAACACTGATTGTTCCAGGTGAACGGGATCGATCTGCGCAACGCCAGCCACGAGGAAGCCATCACTGCGCTCCGGCAGACGCCCCAGAAGGTGCAGCTGGTGGTTTATAGGAATGAAGCACATTACAAGGATGAGGAAAACCTGGAGATTTTCTCTGTAGATATCCAGAAGAAAACAGGCCGAGGACTGGGGCTCAGCATAGCTGGGAAACGGTAAGAGCTTCCAGTGGGAAATATTTGGGGTTTTGATGTATGAACAACTGTAGCCATTAAATGGAATATGAAATAAAGGGAAACTCCATAAGGAGCAGAATTTTGTGTGTAAATATCTTCCAGGATGCAATGGGGCCGTGGTTCTGGCTCCTGTGTCAGAACAGAGCTGAGAAGGGGAAGGAGAGCTCTGGGCACAGAGAGGCAGAGCTGGGGGCTCACTCTTCTGTGGCATCAGGGTAGCTGTGTCCCAGGGCTTTGGAGGCCCTAACCATGGCTTTTCTGATTTCTGAATTGGGGGATAAACCTACCCTGCCTCTTTCCAGGATGTGCCTTTGCAGATGGATTTGTGAGTTAGATTGAGCTCATGCTCAGCTCAAAGGGACCGAGGTCAGTGGAGGGTGGGAGGCTGAGTTAGACCCAAACCCTGAGTAGTTCAAAGTGACTGTGCCACGCTGCAGAGAGCAGTTTACAGAGCAGAACCTGAGATACAGAACCCTTGAGACTGGAAAAGCCCTCCAGGGTCACCAAGTCCAACCTTTGACCGATGGCACCCAGCCCAGAGCTCTGAGTTCCACCTCAGTCCTTCCTTGGGCACCTGCAGGGATGGGGACTCCAAACCTCCCTGGGCAGCCCCTGCCAATGTCTGACCACCCTTTGAATGAAGATATTTTTCCTGACATCCAACCCAAACCTCCCCTGGCACAACTTGAGGCCATTTCCTCTTGTCCTGCCCTGGCTCCACCCTCCTGTCAGGGAGTTGTAGAGAGCAATAGGGTGGGAGGTAGCAGCAGCCTAATAAAATGTGACTTTTTCCTGATACATCTCTAAACTACTGCTATTAGATCACTCAAACCAGAGCACTGATAATTTTAATCTCCTTTTGCTAGAAGAGATTTATGGCATGACACTTGTTCAGGAGTTACCCTCCTGTATTGCCAAAAATAATTTACTTTTGCAATTACAAAGCACCGTGTCATTATCCTGCCTATGGTCAGTAGAGTTTCCGTGGCAGTTTTTGGGTGGCAATGTTTAACCCAGGTGTTGTGAGCAGATTGTGGGGTGGCTAATTAATTTAGATTATGTAAATTACCCTGCAGATGGTAATTGCAGTCTCCAGCCCTCCTCCCTTTGCTTCTGTGCTGAACTTCCTGTGCTACTCCTGAATCCTTCAGAGTGGGGATCCCCTCCTTAGGAGGAGCCCAATTGCTGAAGTCTGTTAAATGATACCCAGTTATAATTCAGGGTGGGAAGTGTTGTGTCCTTCAGGTGAAGGATAAAAAATGCCAGATCTTGGCACTGCAGCTGGCACCAGCTCACAGCACAGAATCATTTAGGTTGAAAAAGCCCACCAAGATCACTGAGTCCAACCTTTAACCTAATGCTGCCAGGTGCACCACTAACCCATGTCCATCAGGAGATAGTTTAACTCCATTATAGACCAAACCTCAGACTTCTGTTCATATAAATGGTGTTTTCCATAAATCTTTATGTATCCTACAGTCAGAAACAACAGCTTAAGGGGAAAGACAATGTTAAATATTAGCAAAACATGCTGTGGTTTTAAAACTCATTGATTTTTTACACAGCTGAGTGGGGTGTAAAACTGGTTCTTGCTCTGCTCACAGGTTTCTTTTAATGTCTCTTAAATGCAAGTAATCTAAATTGGTCTCCCAAAGAATATTGGATTGTGTAATTAGCCATATGCTTCTTGCATTGTTAGAAATGGAAGTGGAGTGTTTATCTCTGACATTGTTAAAGGAGGAGCTGCAGACCTAGATGGAAGATTAATTCAAGGAGATCAGATTTTGTCTGTAAATGGGGAGGATATGAGAAATGCCTCACAAGAGACTGTTGCCACTATACTTAAGGTGAGTACAGAATACATTTTGAGATATTGAATTGCTGTTACTGACACTGTGCAAGGCAATTATCCTGAAGTGCAATTTACCATACACAGGACAGCTCCAGCTGATTACCGAGACAAGAATTTCATTTGAAATAACTGGGAGGTTCATTTAAAGTCACTTCTCTGTGTATTTCTAGGAATTGGATGATATGAAGCAGGAACACAAAGGCACATTTAGTATTTAGGCATTTATTTGAAAATGCAACTGTGTATCTCATGTGTTAGAAAAACACTTGGAAACGAGACAGGCAGCACAAACCAGAACTGAAATAAATCCTTGGCTCTGCTGTACAGACCTGCAGGGATAAAATGACAGCTTAAATCTGTTCCTGCACAGCTTTCCACCTACCAGGAGTGATTTTACTCTGAAACTGTGAGAGAAGTTACCTTTTTCCATGGCTGGTTGGGCTGGAGGAGAGGGCAGGGATGGGATGGCCACGAGTGCCATCAGTGGATGCTGAAGATCCATTTCTATTCCAAACTGCATCTGCTTCCAGGGATTTCCCTCTGCCATCCCCTCCAGTGTTTCTGCACATGATTTCTTCCATTCTTCAGGGGAAAGGCTAATTATTTCCTTGCTTTTTCCATTCAGGGTTGGTACCTTGCCAAAAGTTTACCTATTTAAGAATTGGGAACTGGTGGTACGAGGGTATTTTGTTAAGTTGGATCCATATGGGTTAAAATCACCCTTTTTTGCAGCATTTTCCCTCTAAAGGGTTTTTCAAATGTCTGCTAAGTAGTTTGGGGATTTTTGTTTATTTTTCCTGAGTAAATTGGCCATCAGTTTGCAAGGGGGAGATTCATACTAAATTCAGCAACCAGGAGAAACCTTCAGGACAAGCCTAAATCCACTTTTTGTATTGTCTAAATACAAGTGTTCATGTTTTGAGCATTCCTTGTGGCTTTCTTCACGGACTTTTGGTGCTGAATATAAACATAATTCTCTCCAGGAGAGCATGAAATATTATATGTCTACTTAAATTATACATTGTGGGTTGTTTGTTTTTTTTCCAAGTGTGCTCAAGGCCTGGTGCATCTTGAGCTTGGGAGATTGCGAGCTGGGTCATGGCTGTCATCACGGAAAACATCCCAAAACAGTCAGGTTAGTGACAAATTCCTCTGTTTAAACTGGAGCTGTGAAGGGCAGAGCATGGGGATGGTGCACAGATGTGCACATGAAGCTCATCCTTCCACAAACTCTGCTGAGGGTGGGGAACAAAATATTTTATCCCCATAATTTTCTGTGCTGAACTGCAGCTGAAATGCTGATTGAGCAGAAGAGCTGGTTAATTATGTTGAAGGAGTGTCTTCCCAAGACACACCAAAAATCTCTTAATATCTTTCTCAAATGATGATGCCCAGAAATTTTCGGTGTGAAGACCTGCAAAAACTGCTTGAATGTATTTTCTGCAGCTGTTTTGTCTATCCAAACAAGCTCATGAAACCAAAATGTATCTCTGCCTATCTTCCAGCAGAACCACAGGAGAGCTGCTTTCCTCTCCAAGAAAACACAGAGCAATTTCCTGCTCCACTTGCTTTTTACCTGAAGCGAGGACAACAATTCATTTTCCAATCAGAGCAGGGCTCTTCCCCTCTCCCTGTGCCCCCCAATCTGCTCAGACACCAATTTGCTGTTAAACCTGGAGGGTTGCAGGGGACAGAAACAAGGCACAGTGACTTAGAAAACTTCTTCTTAGTGGGTTTTCCTGCTGAAAATCGACTGCTTTGCCATTGTATTGAAGGTGCCAATGTCTCTAAAAGAGCGGATCACAGCAGGGTGAGGCTGTGGGGGGCTCTGGCCCCTTTCTGCCGTGGGGAAGCTGCACATGAGGGGATCCAGCAGTGCTGAAAGAAGGGTTTGTTTTCTGGAAACAGAGAGGAGGAGCCATAGGAGGCTATGGGGAGATGTCAGTTAAAGCAGGAATGTTTTTAAGGAGGTCTCTAAGAGGCCTGTCCATGAACAACCCCAAAAAGGTGCCAAAATTAGCACAGCATGGTGTGATTTCCTCACTTCCAGCAGTGGTGCTGGCTGGCTGGAGGTGGTGAGGTACCAGGAAGGGCTAAAGCCATGTGGGAACAGCTGGGCTAAGCCCAGCTTTAAAAATAATGGCTTTGGAGAAACATCTGCAGTGCATGCAGCAGGCAAGGAGAGGTGAACAGAGGGGACTTGCACTGGAGTCAGCAGTCAGGTATTACATTTTGTTTTGGCCATTGTATCAACCTGAAGCCTAAGCAAGATCAAGGTAACCAACAAGTGACAGCTAAAATTTACCCACCTGGTTTTTCCATGGAAAGCTCAAGCTGAAAAGGAAGCAAAATGCCATCATGTCTAACTTGGGTCTAGGTAAAAATCCAGATCAAATGGCATCACCCCCTTTTTTGTAGCGTAAGAGGCTTTTGCAGGAGCCTGGTAATTCCTGCCTTTCTTTTAATACAAGAAATCCTCATCTCCTTGATGCAGTTTGAGAGCCTTCCTCTCCCTGCTCCGAAGTGACTTGGTGATTTTGAAAACTGAATAAATGTTTCTCACCAAAACCCTTCCAAGAGTTATAAAAATCTTGGCAGATGATGCAGCAAATCAGCTTGAATGATTTGCACAACTGCAAGTGCTGCTTTTGAAGGTGCTGGCCAAGAGCATCCAGACCTTTTGTCCTCACTTGGCTTTTTTCTGGGTCCACTGCATCCCTTGAGCAGTGGAAATTGAAGCCCTGTGGTGCAGGACAGGGGTTTCTTTCACATGCATTGCAAATGTTGTTAACTGGGCCATGAATTGGCACCCAGGGGTGGAAGCTGTTCTGTGCTTGGTGTTTGTCACTGACAGCTGCACACTGGCCAGTGGGATAAATGTGTCAGGGCTTTTGAGTCACCAGCTGATGTGTTTGGGGGCAGAAATCCCTGCTGTGCATGGACAGGGATGGACCAGATCTTTGTCTTGGACAAGGCAGCCCAGTTGGAAAGGTTTGGTCCTCAGTGGAACCTGTTCAGATGCACTTCTTAAATTGGTAATTTGGTTTCCTCGAGGGGCAGAGTCTGAAGATAAAAGCCAGATAAGGAGAGAGGGAAAAGGAGGGAAATGGAAAGGGCAGCAGGAGCCAGCCTCTCCCTTTGGAGGCTCTCCCTGTGTCAGCTCCTGTCTTCTCCTGGAAATGAGAGGAGGTTCTTGGGCAAACAGAAGGAGCAGGGGCCATTACAGTGTATTCAGCTAGAACAGCAAAGATTCCTGCCAGGGGACAGGATGGGTGTCCCTGCTGTCCCCCCTCATGTGAGAGAGCAGCTGTTTGTCCTCCTGGGTGCTCATGCATGCCAGGGGCACTACAGAGAAGGTGCCCATCATTTCCCCTTCTCCTGAGGTGTGGAGACACCCTGGGAGCCACTGAGAGGGGGGAGCACTGTCTAAAGCCACCTGAGCAGCACATAATTGTCACTGACAGCACATAATTGTGGAATAAGGGTCTGCAGTACTGTGAGCAGCACCACAGAATCACTGAGGCTGGAAAATCCCTTTGAGACCATCAAATCCAGCCATTGCCCAGCACTGCCAAGCCCACCACCAACCCCTGTCCCGAGTGCCACATCCACACATCTGTTAAATCCCCCCAGGGATGGTGACTTCACCTCCTTGGGGAGGTTTTGGTCTGTTTCCCCTCCCAGAGGGGTTTGCACTTGCGTGGCCAATGTGGCATTTCTAGTGTGGCTGGCACAGCTGCACCCCATCTGTCACAAGGTCTGGTTTAAAGTTCACTTTTGGGTTTGACTCACGGGTTTTTTATTTATTTTTACCCTCAGGCGAGCCAACAGAGCGTCCACAGCCACTTCCACCCCACGCTTGCTCCCGTCCTCTCCACCTTGCAGAACTTTGTCAGCACAAAAAGATCCTCAGCAGACACATCCCAGAGAAACTCAGGTACAAACTGCCAGAAGAGCTGAGTGTGATTTGCTTTATATTCAGGCTGCCTTAAAAGCCAAACTGAAGACTTGAATCTGGCTTTCCTGCCCAGCCTCCCTGAAGACGCCCCACGGATGTTTTTAAGACCCAAACACTTCCCAGAAGATGACAATTATTTTTATGTCTGCTGGAGGAGTAATGGCCCCTCTGTTTTAAGTGCAGAATTCCTGTGCCCTGCTATTCCCCAACACCCTTGTCAGAGGCTTAGTACAGACGTGGTTCTCACATTAGGAACAGTTTTCTCAGGGAATAAAGCTGCCACCACTTCATTTATATCTTTGTTGCTCTTGAGTGCATAAAGGGGTGTTTTGTAATGAGAAAGTCACAATGCCCAGTTTGCAATTTGCGGGTTTAGAGAGCGTTAAATCCACGGCCCGCAGCAGCCTGGGGAGAGTTGCTCCAGGAATTAGGAATCTTTGCTCACATCTGACCATGAGCAGGAGCTGAAGACATTTCTTCTGCTAGTTTGCAGGAGCCTGGTGACTTTTTGGGCATCCTTCCTTGTGCTGTCTGGACAGGCCCTGCAGCATTTCCTGACCCTTATCTGGGGTCCCCAGGGCTGGGCTTCCCAGTGCCACAGACCTCAGCTGTCCTGCATGGATGTGGGGAGTGCTGGTTTGGGGGGGTAAGAATCATGGAATTTTGGAAGAGATTTACTCTGCCAGCCTTCTGCTGGGCTCTTAAAATAGTTTCATTAAAGCTGATACAATTAGTGGTGGGTGTAGCAGAGCTCAGGACCTGACTACAACATCAGCTTGTTGGCCTGAAAAAGGAGCAGTTTGAGCAATGTCTCTGAAGTCTCTTTTTGCCTTTTGCCTTTTTTCCTTACCCTCCATTCTCCTCTCTTCCCTTTCCCACTTTCCCCCTTCTCTTTTTCATGTTCCTTTTTTCCTTTTCTTCTTTCCTCTTCCCCCTTTCCTTTCCCTCTCACCTTTATTTCCTTCTCCTCTCATCCTTATTCCCTTCCCCTTTTACCTTTTCCTTGCCCTTTTCTTTCCCTTTTTCCTCCTTTTTTCCAGTATTTTTCCATGTACTTTTCCACACTCTATGACTGGGTACACACCAGCCTGTCTTCCTGCCTGTCCATTATTTACCAACACAGCACAAAGAGGAAGAGGAGATCCCTGGAACCGCACCACTCCCAGAGCCCTTTGTGCAAGAACACTGTGATTTTAGGGATAATAAGGCAATCTTTAATGGAGTGAAGGCACAATAGGGCTGTTCTCCAGGCTGGCAGAGTGCTGCTGTTCCACAGATTGTGGCTGGGCTACAGTGGGAGTCACGGTGACATCGAGAGCCGGAGGGATTACACCGTATTCATCCTTCCTCCTCCTCCTCACGTGAGCAGCACTGCCTGCCTTGGCACAGGAAGGCTCCACTCCTGCTTGGTGATAACTCTGCCTAGGCAGCAAGGGACCACTGTCACCTGACAGTGTTATCTCTTAATTATATTATCTCTTAATTACAGAAGCTAATTGTTTGTTTCTTTATTAGTAGGAGCCGATACGGGCCCAAGGACTGTGGAGATAACGAGGGTCAGTGAGTTGTTTTCTATCCCTTCATAAAGCTGACTCCTTTCATTGGAGTTGTTCATTTTTGCAGCATCTCTCACCAGTCAAACTGCATGATTTGTGTTTGCAGTGGGGTGTTTGATGTGTGCCTGTGCTTTGGGTGAGGAAATGTGTGTGTCAGACCCATTTTTTTCTCCCTGTTCCACCAATCCAAGCAGTCAGTTATTGCTATACCCTGCTGCAGATGTTTGGTTTTGCTTTGTTCCAGGGCCCAAATGATGCACTGGGTGTCAGCATAGCAGGAGGGAAGGGCAGTCCCTTGGGAGACATTCCCATCTTCATCGCTATGATCCAGGCCAGCGGAGTGGCTGCTCGGACACAAAGGCTCAGAGTGAGTACAGGGGCCCTCAATATTTCCCATTTCACCTCCCTCGTGTCCCTTGAAGCCTCAAGCACTTCTGTATCTGCTGCCACTGATAATCTCTCACAGACTGCTCTGCCTCTTTTTATATGAAAGCAAAACAAACAAAAAAAAACCACCCCAAAACACAAATCTGCCCTTCTCTTCCCATCTTGGGGATAATGGCAATTGCTGCCCATTAAGAGAAAGAACTTAAATGCATTTGCAATGGTCTTGGAATGTCTGTGTTCACCCAGACCCAGGCAGGGCAGCAAGAGGCTCTCTGGAAACCACAGGTACTTTGGGAACTCTGGACTGGGCATCATTTAGAGCTCAAATCAGGTAGAAACCAGATCAGAAATGAGTTGTTTGGTCTTAAGGCCCCTATAAATAAACAGCAAAATAAGGCACTTGTATCAGACCCACAGCTCGTGTGGGTTTCCAGGCATGGCCATGGTGAACACTTCTAGTTTTGGAGAGAGTTTCAAGGAATCATGAGGATTGAAAAGAATTTATTATGCAGATCCACATGCTTTGGCCCATGAGATTCATTAGGACATGCTGCTACACTCGTGCCTTGTTTCTAATGGAATTAAACAATGGCAGGGTTGAGATCATTTTTGTGTGTAGGAAGAAGAAATCATCCAGGTTAATTGGATTAATATCAGAATTTCCTACTCTCCTGTACAACATTCAGCACCTGCTTACACAGTCTGGAAGAATATGAACTTGTCTGTATATTCAGACACAAATGAATCCTTTCTGGATGGGAGGACAGCAGTGAAAATCTCCCTCTCTCTCTGCTTGCAAATAGAAAGAGGAAAATACAACCCCATCTTTGTTTCTCTGATCATATTCTCAGTGTTAAAAAAAGAATGGGAAATGATCACTGGCAGTGCAGAATCCTCACAAAAGGGATCCTGCAAAAGAGAAGCATGACTGTGCAGTGCCAAGTTCACGAGGAATTTTAAGCATTCTTAGTTTTAATTTTCCCTAATGCTGATAATTTTCCATTACTGTTGTACTTTCAGGTTGGAGATCGGATTGTCAGCATTAATGGGCAACCTTTGGATGGGCTGTCTCATGCAGATGCAGTTAATCTACTAAAGAATGCTTATGGGAGCATTATCCTGCAGGTATGGTGATAAATTGAACATGCAGCTGCAGCAGGGTAGATAAATAGCATTCAGGAAGAGGGGAAAAAAAAAAAACCCTGAGCATCCCTGGCACAAGGCATCGCAGAATTGCAGGGTGCTTTGCTGGTGGGAATTACACAGAAGGAGAGCAAGAAATCATTTCCATTCAAAAATTCTTTATTGCCATTCATACAGGCTGTGAGCACGGTTCTGTAAAAGCATAACAAAGGGAACAAAATAACTTGTTGCTACACGTGATAAATCAACAAGCTTCCAAGTTGTGGGTTTGGTTTTTTTTTTTAATTGGAAGTTAACTAGGAACAAGAAAATGTGTGTGTGTGCTTGTGATGTAATGAGACAGAGACCCACAGGGTGGTTTCCTTGTCCTTGAAAGAAATTCTAGCAGAATTTAGGAAAAATGATGGCATCATCACTAAGACAGTGCTGCCTGGAACTGATTATTCATCAGGTAAAGGATAAAAACACTCAAGAGAGAAAACAGTGCTGTCACTGCTGTGCTTCTCTGGTAGCTAAAAGGGACATCTTCTGCCACATTGCTTCTAATTGCTGCCTGCCACTGTGTTGATCCATAGTTTATTTTTATGTTTACACAAAGAAATGGGGAAAATACTTGCCAGTTAGTATTCAAAATTCTACTCGTTTGCAGAATTATTGCAACAACTGGAAAACAAGCTGAAGGCACCACTAAAATCTATTCTTCACTCTCTTTATCATCACAGCATTTTGGATTGGAACACATCCTGAGGGATTTTTGCAAGCTTCTTGCTTGTATTATGACACAAATGTGACTATAAAAAATAGGGGGGTGAAGAGGGGGGGAAGAAAAAAGAGAAAATGAAATTACAATAAACTTAGTTGGAGACTTGCTTATTCTTTGTTTTGTCTGTCCATGAACTGCTGACCCGGTAAGTGATGAGCCAGTTCCAGAGCAGATGGTGTTTTGTGTAGTTCCATTGAAGTCAGAGGAAACACACAGATTTACACCAGCTGAGGATTCTCTGTTAAATTATAGTTATCATATTGTTACTAACGTTGAGTAATTTCACTTTTCATGTCAACAGTGTTCCCTGAATAGAAAATGAAAGCTTGCTGCAGAACCCAAAATTGCTCCTCTTGAAAGCTGTAATACAGCTCAATATTGCACCTCATGATGGATTTAAAAATATTCCTGATGGAGCACTCTGTCACTGGGTCACTCAGACAAACAAAGAGCTTCTTCTAGAAACGCCACTGGGTTAAAGAGCTTCTTCTGGAAGTGTCTTTGGGTTTGTCAGTTGGCTGCTTTTCTTCCATATTTTTGCTCTCTGAGCATTCTATCTCATTCAAATGAGCTTGATGCTGTTTACAGATGATAGAGGTTTATTGGGATAGAATAGAGTCTGTTCTCTATTAAAAATCTGCTCTAGGAAGGTGGGATGTTGTATTTGAACACCTGGAGCAGTGTCAAAGCGTGGTGATGGTTCCCTTCCCCACCAACCACAGGTACCTCTCCACCCCCAAACTCCTCTTTTTTTTTTTTATCAAAACAATCCAAATGGAACAATCCTATCTCTGTGATCATCATGACTGATGTGCCATTAAATAATTCTGTTTATTATCAGGGTAGACCACTTCATGGCAAACTGCTCTGAAGGGTCAGATAATTGTGCTCAGTGGGGTGGAAAGGCTTATTATGGGAATGTCCTGGGAAGGAGTTTGCAAATGCTGTTTGCAAATGGGAGATTAAGGTCTCAGGGGAACAATCATCCCTCTCAGCTGTTTTGATGCCTTGGTTTAATTTAATTTCTTTTCTGCAGGTGTAGTAATGAGATAAGGGGGAGCTTTTTTACAAGGTTGTTGAACTCTGATACGTTCTTGCTGCCAGCTGAAGATTTTTGAATATAGATTTGTTTTTACCCTCGTTTTATTGAACAACAAGAAAAAAAAAAAAAAAAAGACAAATCCTGGCTGGAATTCCTTGTGCTGATGCCACAGGAAGGGAACCTTGGTGGGGTCTTTGCTGGCTGAGCCAGGTGCTGTTCTCACCTGCTGGACCCCCTTCCTTTGGGGCATCCTGGAACCAGAGTCCTGGGATGCAGAATTTGCATGGAAACCTTCTGGCTCTGTCACCCTCTTGGCTCCAGATGATTGGGAGGAGGGAAATATTGCTATGGAAGAACTGTGAGCACTCATTTTAAACAGATTGATAGAACAAATTTCTTACTTTGAAAAGGGAAGTTTTCCTTAAAGCCAGGTTCACAGCAACAAGTGGAAGAAGTACCTGCTCACTTGGATAAAATAAGGCCATAGCTAGAGGAAATATTGGAATTGTGCCTCCTGGCTGTTTTTCACTGTGTCTGATCTGAACTCCCATGCTGCAGTAAATGTCAGGCAGAGAAGATATCTCCTCAGAGGGAGATGGAGTGAGGGGATAACCACAACATGTACTTGTTGGGAAATTGATGTCCTTTCAATTGTATATACTTCAAATCCAAACCACTTTGTGGTGGTTTCTTTGAAAATTTTCCAGAAAAAAAGAAAAAAAAGCAAATAAAAAATCAGCATCAATGAAGAAAAAATAAAGTTAATGCCAGGGCCCTCACTACTCTCACAGCCAGGAATTCCTGCCCAAGATCCCATCCAGCCCTGCCCTCTGGCACTGGCAGCCATTCCCTGGCTCCTGTCCCTCCAGCCCTCAGAGCATCATCCAGGATGTTTTCAGAATAATAGAGGATCCAGAATTGAGAAGTTCAACAGTCCAGTTTGTTTTCATGCTAAAAATTCAGAAAACTCAAAACCAAGGATTAATTTGTTCCCTACTCATCAAACAAACCAGTCTGAGGCATTTCAGGGTCTTTGCCCAACAGTCCCTTGGATCTTGGTGTTCTCTTAAAGGTTGTGGTGGTTTCTTTCAAGACCAATCCTGGACCCTTTGACTCTCCTTGGAAAACCAACATTTTTCCCTGGATTACCCAGGAAGATCCTTCCCCTTTGCTCAGAGCTTGAGTGATGGTTTTGTGAGGGCAAGAGCTTCAGAGCAAAATTTGCATTGAGAAAGATGCCAGCTCTTACCTGAAAGTGTGGAATTAGTGGAGATTTAAGAGAGTAGGACTTGGTTTTAAAGCTTGCTTGGGGAAAAAAATTCAACAGCTGATTTTTCCAAACTCTGTTTCCTTGCATCCCTGTGGCCCAGGTGGTGGCTGACACCAACATCAGTGCCATTGCCAGCCAGCTGGAGAGCATGTCCACGGGCTGCAGCCTGAACCCGCCCTCCGAGCATCCCACCGAGGATCCCGAGTGAGTTCCTGCTCTCCTGCAGAGCTGGGGTGGATTTCTGGGTGAGGGAGAGGGTGCAAGGAGGTCTCTCCCTTTGCTTCTCTCTCTAATTTTCTGCCACCTTTAAAATGAAAGCTTGGTGACCTTCCCCAAGGTGATGATGGGCTCGTGTCTGTCTTCGCCTGCTGACAGAAATTGCTTGAGTAAATAAACACAAAATGTGTTTCCAAGCATTATTTCTGGGTGTTTTTCAAGGAAAAAGTATCTCTTTTCTTCCTTAATGTTGTGCTGACATGGTATTTCTGCCCTTGGCCATTGGCTCTTAGTCTGGAAGGAGTTCTGATCACAGCAATTTGAAATAATTTGGTATTGGCAGACTGATGCCAGAGGTGTTAAAAACACCTTACAAAACGTGTCCCAGGACTTTGTCTTTTCAATCTTTATAGCTTTATGAGTCAAAAAAAATCCAATTAAAATAATTCCTGCTTGCAGCACTTGGGTGTGGTGATGGAAGTTGGAGGTCCCTGCCGTGCTGGACCATCGTGTGCTTTTCACACAGTTACCATTTTGAAATTCATTTATTCTCCATTTCAGCTCATCATTTTCATTATGTTCTTCATTTTCATTCTGTGGTTCATTCTATTTATTTTAAGAAGTTGCTGTCCTACCTCAGGAGAATTGAGTGTAAAAGTTGAGCTATTTGTGCTGCATTCTGTGGTCTTAAAATATGAGACACTGCTTTTATTGCTGCTCTCCAAGGAGAACTGCTTGCTTTAGAAAAAGATTGGTATTCCTTTTTCATATCAAAGCAGCAGGAAATTTGGAGGTGAAAATACAAAGCAGAATTAGGTGTGTCCTAAAAAATGCACAGATACTGCTCAGCTTGGGCTGCACCTTTAGATAGGTGGGAGGTGCCAAATGGCTTTCACAGAATCATGGAATGGTTTAGGTTGGAAAAGCCCTCTCAGATCATCGAGTCCAGCTGCCAAGGCCACCACTGACCCATGTCCCCAAGTGCCACATCCACACAGGGATGGGGACTCCAGCACTGCCCTGGGCAGCTGTGCCAGTGCCTGAACACCTTCTGTCCACAGCAGTTCTTTCTACATACGTAGAAATTACTGATTTCAAATCTGAGATGGATAAATTTATGAGTGGTCTAAATTCCACCAAAAAAATCTTCCTTTGCTCAGTGTAGGCAGAGAAAACCCCTGAAGAGTTCAGGCTCCAACTGATGAGCTCTGGAGTTATGAGCACAGGGATGTGGGTATAATATAAGAATTAAAAATAATGTTTTCCAAGTGAGGAGCTGGAGCACACGGAGTAGCCTTTGAACTCTGGGCTTTGCAGGAATGTTCCAGTGCAAGGGTCATGGTTTGTGACTGTGTGAAAAAACTCATGATAGATAAATGTCTCTGTAAGTGTTCCTTCTGCATAAAGTCCCCAGAGACAGACATTGCTTACCTAAGTGATATTTATTGTGTTTTCAGAGCACCTCAACCTAAGATTATTACTTTGGAGAAAGGCTCTGATGGACTGGGATTTAGTATTGTAGGGGGGTATGGAAGTCCCCATGGAGACCTGCCCATTTATGTCAAGACTATATTTGCCAAGGTATCTTCTATTTTTTGTTTTCTCCCCTTTTTTTCTATATTACCTTTAAAAATAAATCTAAGATTGGGCTTGGATAATATATTATGTAGCAGAAAGCAAAATGTACTGTCTGAGCACGTTGTTGTGAGTTAGTGGACCCAGAACTCATAGCTGGCTTCTCAGTTTATATTTCATATTACTGATGGCTGAAACAAGACACTTTGTCTCAGCAAAATTGCTCTGTGTACTTGGGAAATTTGGGTTTGTACATTAAAATATTTATAAGGCAGTTTTCTATCTGTAAATCTCCAAGAGATTTCCAGGTGGTATTGAAGGCATCTTTTTTTCTCACTGTGCAGGAGTGAGGAAATGGCAGAGGTTCTGTATCCTGATGAAAAAATCAGGAATTAGCCTATCTCTGATCCCAGCCCTGAGTGTCTGGGGGGACTGGGGGTCCCTGGCAGGTACAGAGAGCTCCAGCCTCTGAGGTTGGGGAAGAATCATAATATAGCATATTATAGGAGGGAAATACACCCCTTTTCCCACCCATCCCCTGCTAAAAATGAGCCAGCAAGACTTGTCAGGCACAGCCACATGAGGGGAGGTGTGGAAAAGGGCAGGGAAGAAAAACAGTGGGAATTAGGGATACTTTCCATAGAATCATTGTGAAGTCTGTCAAATGCTTGCCCTGTGTCAGCACTTGTGGCAGGGTAGATGATGGAGTTGAGAAAACTTTATCTGAAGGTAAAGTAGGAGCCATATATCCTGCTCCTGCAATTCTGGAGCTCAAACCAAAAATATCTGGTATTTTTACGATTTTAAGTTAGCTAAAATATTGTGCCTTTTAACTTGTGCTTAGGGTTACAAGTTTCCAGATTTGAGCATGACTGAGAAATCTTAAATGGAACCTGAAGTTCCTGCAGTCCCTGGTGGGACAGAAAGAGACACTGTGAGGCAACCTCTGGGCAGGCAGGGCTTGGGATTTAGGTAAAAGAACTTCACTGAGACATCTGGAGGAGAGGAGCCATTCCTAAAGCTCTCTGGAAGCTTTCAGGATTTGCCACCAAACTTTGTAGGTTGGAAAAACCCTCTGAGATCACCGAGTCGAGCCATTCCCCCAGCACTGCCAACCAGCGTCCCCAGGAGCCACATGCACGTGGCTTTTAAATCCCTCCTAGCATGGGGAGTCCACTGGGCAGTCTGCTCCAATGCTTGGCACCTTTTGGTGAGCAAAATTATCCTGATGTTCAATCCAAACAACTCGAGGCCATTTCTTCATCTCTCTCTGGGGCTGGGGGCAGTGCCCAGGTCAGTTCCCTCTCCCTCCCCACTTTTTTAGCTGTTTCTCAGCTGTGAGGCACAGAGTTCATTTAAATGCTGCTTTAACAAGCCTCTCCACGATCATAAAATCCAGAACCAGTCTCTACCCAAGCCTTTTTTTCAGGGAAGAGCCAACTCTGTCTCCCTGGGCGTGTACCCTGGCAGGGTGGGGCGCGACGGTCAAGGCGCTCATGGGGGGAAGCTCAGCGCTGCCATTTCTCTGGGCCGTGAGGGATTCCCAGTGCTCCAGCACCTCATTCCAGGCAGCACTCGGGGCTCCAGGAGCCCGGGGGTGCCACGCTGAGCCCTGGTTTGCCGTTGCAGGGCGCGGCGGCCGACGACGGACGGCTGAAGCGCGGGGACCAGATCGTGGCCGTCAACGGGGAGGCCCTGGAAGGCGTCACCCACGAGCAGGCCGTGGCCATCCTGAAGCGCCAGAGGGGGACGGTGACCCTGACAGTGCTGTCCTGAGGCAAACAGAGTTCTTTTAGGCCATCTGTAGAGCTGTCAGACACTGCCCAGCCCCCTCAGAGCCTGGCAAACATGGATCAGCATTCCCACAGATGCCAGTGAGCATCTCCAGCTTCGTTCAGCACCCCACGTTTTTTCGGCCTTTCTCCCCGCCCTCCACAACTTCTGGTGGCTTTGGAGGTTTCTCTGGACAAGTTTAATTAAGGAACTTTAAAGGACAAGACTCGTTCAGCTTTATTTAACACCTCGGTTTGTCTCCGCTGGTCTGAACCCTGGTTCTGACTGCTGAACCTGGAATCAGTTCTCACACAAAAAAGAATTCAGATCATCAACTGATCTCATCTGAGGAGCAGAAATAAATGCCGAGCGACTTGTCATCTCACTCATGATTTACTTATGCTAATTGTTCTTTCAAGTATGCCAGAAAACATTAGCAATGTAATTAAATTACCACTGTTCCAAATGATGAAATATCAAATTCTCCTCTGGGAAATTATTTGTGCTCGGCACAGTAAGTCTGATAGTCAAATGTGAACTTCTCATGTTTATCTCTTTGGGTAGGTCCGTGGAAGTTAGTCAGAGGTAATTACTGTGATGTGTCAATTTGCAGCCTTTAGCATGAAAAATAAACGAGGGGAGAGGGAAGTTTATTTTTTTAGGCTTTTAAAATGTTTGAGCCTTTTCAGATATTTAGGCAGCATGAACAACAACAGCGTAGCTCATTCTAGTCTAATTATATTTTTTAAGAAGAAATGTGCTGATATATGCTAGGCATGTCGCATACAAAGGCAGTTGTTGTCGTGCCAAGCTGCAGCATAATTGTTCATCCTGAAACTTTAATGAAGACAAAAAGTTTGCTTTGGGAATGTGATCCTGTAATTCCAGGGATGACGATGAGCAGTCCCTCGGGCTCGATGGAGTTCATCCTCACCTGCAGACTGACGTGCATTCCCAAGAGTCTCCCCAGGATCAGGTGGTGCAGGAAGAGGCTTTCATGGATGGTGGAGGATGCTCCTCCTTGGGGCTGCCAGAGTCAATTTTGGGTAACACTGAGTGCTGCCAGGCAGTGATGATGATCTCCCACATGCAGGTGCAGCGGTTTGGGATGAGGTTCCTCAACCCCTTCCAGCTCAGTTGAATCCCCCAGCCAATTTTTTAGGGTCTGAAGCCCACAAGGAGCCTTCCCAAGGCTGGTCCCACTCTGGGCCAGTCCCACTGTGGAGGTGGGGTGCAGGAACATTCAGCCAAAAGTTCCCATTCCATGTCCCAGCCATCGAGCAGTGGTTATGAGTGTGGCCTTGGTGATTTGGCAGATGGGTTTGGCAGGCAGATTCCTGGCAGTGCAAGGCATTGTGGGTTAATCTTCCTATCCAGAGGAGCAGGAGGGGTTTGGATGAAGCAGCCCAGTCTGATTTGGACTATTTGGCATAATTTATAAAGGTGATGTAGCTGGGAGAAATGAAAAGGGGGGTAGGGTCAGAATTGGCTGCTCATTTTGTGTGAAAAATTCCAGGAATTAAATGGAAAGAAGGTTGAAAATCTGCAGTATAATAACTGAGCAGTGCAGGGGGGTGTTAAAGGTACAGCTGTTCTGTGTAATTTAGTGGAATTTTCCCCATTTTACATACAGGAACCAGTCCTGAAGCGAGGTGAACAGAGACAGGAATGCTGTGATAAGTTCTCATAGAAAAGAGTTTTCCTTATTTCCTTGGAAAGTTTTCCATAACTTTAAGTAATCACAAAGTGCATTTAGCCTGCTGGAACCATTGGTGGGTATTCCCTAAACAGTGCCTGGAAGAGACTTCATGTTTTCAGTGGATTCCCAGTGTCCTGTTTGATTTGCCAGGTGAGGTGTGAGTGGAATCTTGGTTGCAGATGCACAGGAATATCTCCAGATGTAGAAAACTGGAGAATTCTTACCAAACTGCTTTGGTTGCACAAGTATCCGAGGCATGCAGGAGTTCAAGGTGAGGTGTGAGGAGGTACCCTCAGCAGCAGTGTGTGGAATTTATCAACCAAAGGGAATGATTCCTCTGTCCTGTGTTTTTATAGCCATTGCATTCCGACCCTGAGACACTGCCACATTTAATCGATGAAGTTGTTCAGGGCTATTTATTAGCCTGTGATGCACATGCAGTTCATAGACATAAATAATAGAATTTATGGGCTGAGACATTTTGCACTTCTCATTGCTCAGAAGGAGAGAGAACATTTTCTGCTTCTTGTAATTTGCACTTTGTGTGTTCGAATATATTACTGCCAAAAAAGTTACATTGCAACTAATTGATAAACCAGTGACCATGCTCCACGTGCAGGACCAAGGCAGAGAACTCAACTTGCATCATGCTTGTCTGGGTGGAGGTGTTCTGGTTTGTTTAAAACTTTATTTCTGCGCAAGGGAAAAAGCAATTAAACCTCTTGATTGTATGTTTACGTAGATCAGTAAAATGAGATGTTTTATGACTTCAAAGGTTCTAAATAAAGCTCGGTTGCATAAGTAGCTGTGCATTTGTTTCATTCTATATTTTAATTTAAGTCAGTGTTAAAAGCTATTGCATGAGATAACATCTCATCTGATATCCAGTTTAAACCTCCTCTGGCAAAACTTTTCCTCTGTTTCCTCTTGTCCTAAGGGTTCTCCTGCCTTTGAGGACTCAGGGTCAGAGCCTTTACTTTAGAAGGGCCATGTGTTGTTCACAATCCCTCCATCAGCTTCCTCACCTGGAGAGACGTGGAGTAACCTGCTGTTGGCAGTGACAGCATCAAGGACGTTTTTGGCAGCACCAGGAGTCATCTCAGGGCTGTTGGCATTTCTTGGCCAACTGATAACCAGGTTATGGATGTGGTGCTGTTGGGTGGGCTGGTGGGGCCAGCAGGTCAGCCTGGAGGGATGAGGGACTCCACCTCATTATCCTGCTGATGAGGAATCATTGCCCCTAAATCTCCTGTAATTAATCCCAAGGCAATTGCCACCCTGGAAGTGTGACATCCACAGAGCCTGTGGAGGTAACATGATTATGCCAGGATGGAGCAGTTCATGTCCCTCTGCCTGAAAGCACTGGAGCAAATTAATGTCATGTCACACATGTATAAAACATCAGTTTTTACAGTTATGCTGAGCATTGATGCATAATTCCATTATCATCTTTCTCCACAGGTTCACACGTCTGTGTCTGGAATTCAGGTGGATTGATGTCCTGGTTAAACACTGCCATGGTCATTGTTACCCCTCCTAGGAGGGTTTGTTCCCCAAAATGTGAGTTCCTGTGATAGCTGCACCTTCTAGGATGGCAGAAAACCAGAGAGATCCGTGTTCTGCAGCATCCCAAGTGGAAAAGGAAGAAGGGTCACCCTGACTTTGCTTTTAACCTTTTCCAGGTGGGCTCTGAGGGCTCTGCTGCCTTCCCAAGTCTGGTGGGGGTGAAGCAGAGCTTGCTCCCAGTTCCTGCACAAAAAGGGGAAATATGCAGTGGTAGCATAAACTCTTTATTCCCTCTTTACTTAGGATCACAAAATCCCAGAATGGTTTGGGTTGGGACAGACCTTAAAGCTCATCCCATCCCACCCCCTGCCACAGACAGGGACACCTTCCACTACCCCAGGTAGCTCCAAGCCTGATCCAACCTCAGGGATTCCTAAAAAGTTGAAGAGCTCATAAGGAATGTTTTATTTTTCAGGGCAGATGTTTCCATGTAAGGGTTTGTAGTCCCACTTTGAGAAGGATGAGAAAAACAGGGTAAAGATTCCTGGTTCTGGATCTGCAAGGTAAGTGCTGGGCCAGGGCTGGGTCCTGGCACATCCTCATGGACCCACTCCAGATTCCAGGCAGGGAAAGCTGCCCAGGCCCCAGCACAGCTCTGATGCTTTTTCTGCTGAAATGGCACTAGATGGAGCAGTTGACAAAATATTGCATTTCTACAGCCCAGGGCTGGAGGCCCAGGCAGAGGAGCTACCCCCAGGGAGGCTCTGAGGATGCTCCATCTTCTCAGCCCAGCCCAGGAAAGACAAACTCCCAAACTGTGAGCTGGCTCTTTCCCTGTGAACAGGGGAGTGCTGCAAAAGGGACACACCTGGGTATGGTGAAAGGAGGTTTCTAGGGAAGGAAATCATGGCCCATCTCACTCCTGCTGATAACTGCCTTCCATCCTGGCAAAAACAGGGCAAATTGGCCCTGCCACACTGAGCTGTGGGGACAGAACAGGGGCCAGCTTGGCCCCACAGACCCCAAAGCAGAGGAGCAGTCACTGTGCCCAACACACTGCTCCTGCAGCAAATAAATCTGCCTTTGTTTCTTTTGTTTCTTCTAAGAACGTTAACTTCTGCTGAGAGTTGCTGCACTGACACTGTCCAAGCTGCTGATGGGGCAGGTTCTAGCTGATAATCATCTCAAAAGGAGATGGTTTTCTTTGGATGGATCCTGGAATGGTTTGGGCTGGAAGAGAACTTAAAAGATCATCCAGTCCCACCCCTGCCATGGCAGGGACACCTTCCACTATCCCAGGTTGTTCCAGCCTGGCCTTTGACACTTCCAGGGATCCAGGGACAGCCACAGCTGCTCTGGGCACCCTGTGCCAGGGCCTCACACCCTCACAGAAAATTTATCTCTCATCTCTAATCTAACCCTGCCCTCTGGCACTGAGAGACATTCCCTGTGTCCTGTCCCTCCATCCCTTGTCCCAAAGTCCCTCTCCAGCTCTCCTGGAGCCCCTTTAGGCTCTGAGGTCTCCCTGAAGCCTTCTGTTCTCCATCCCCAGCTCTCATCCTGTCCAAACTGAGCAAAGTGGTTTTGTCTGACCACTGAGGTGCTTCAGATGAGACCCTCAGAGTCTCCTCTCCTCCCCTTGCAGCAAAAGAAAGGGACACACTGGAAATTCCCATAAGGAGAGTGGAAAAATCATGTTCAGCCAAGCTCCTCATCATTCTTTCCCTTTGTAGCTGATGGGCTGCTGGATGCTGAGCCTGTAAAGATCATTAGATTAATTCCTTTCCTTGCAGTGACTTAATTGTCTCCATTTGTCCTGCGCAGTGCTCGCACAGGGGGTGTGTTTCTCCTTGCCTATATTTAGTTTGATCTCTACAGTGATATTGGAATACATAAATTAAGGCTGGCTCTGGCTCTTTGTGACACTGAGATCCCACAGATGATTTTTTTTGTGCAATCTGGTACTTTGACAGCAGGAACTTTGGGCACTGGGAGATGCCAGGGACAGCATCAACCCATCCATGATCCCTCAGGGTCCACATGAGCAGAGGAGCTGCTCCAGGGGATCGTCCTGTGGGAGCTGCTCCTCCCTGGGTAGATGGTTTGAGGGCAAGAGGAAAGAAGAGGCACAGGAATGAAAAAAAACCTCCTGGGGATGCAGTTAACCAGCCTGGGCTGCAGGGATGGGAACAGGAGGGAAAGGGGGACTGGAGGGGGCAGGGGAAGGCAGCAAACTCCGTGGTGCCTCCCTGCAGAGCTGCAGCACACCCCAAAAATCCCTGTCCCCAGATGGAGGCACTTCCCAAAGCCACCCTGATGCTTAGCAGAAAATCTCCCACATTTATTCTGCTGAAGCCAGAACTTCCACCTTCCTCAGGGAAGCAGCAGGAAAATTCTTCTCTGCAAGTTTGGATCAGGAGCTGTCAGAGAAAAAAACTCAGTGAAGACTGTCCAAAAATAGTGTTATGGCTCTTTTTGTTTGCAGCTGGGCCTGGCAGAGATGGTCCTGCTGGCTTTTGTACACAAATTGGGGGAATTCCTGAAAAAAAATATCCCACCTTGCCATATCTGTGCAGGGACCCCCTGGGGATGGGGGTGGGTCACTGACCTGAAGAAAAACCTCCAAAATGACTGGTTTGGTGCTGTGCAGGTGTGGGAAGTCACCCCAGAAAAGCCACAGCTATGGGGACAGGAACACACACAGGGAAAGGTTTAATTCATTTTATTTATAGATAAAGGAGGCATTTTGGGATATAGATAAAAAAAAAAGGCAGAAGTCTGAGATAGTGAATGCTCTGGACTGAAAACATGGAGAAAGGAAAGAAAATTGAGCAGATGGCAGATTTCCATGGAAAACCGAGGTCAGGGCTGTTCTCCCCTCCCTGCAAAGATGGGGGCTCAAGGCAGCTCAAGAGACATTTTGTCAGGATGTGAACTGACTTAACAACAACCACAGTGGTCCAGGATTTACTTCTGCTTACAAAAAAGGAGTAATTAGCTAATCAGGGAGATCTGGGTTTGCTCCAGGAAAGCCAAGGGAGAGCACCCAGTGGGTCCTGATCCAGCAAAACAAGGGTGCTTGGAAAAGTGGGGCCTGAGCCCGGCCTCCCTCTCTGTCAGAAGCAGAGGGATTTAAGAAAAAACCCTGATTTGAGGTGATGCTGGACCCTGTGGGTGCTCCATGGTGGGGCAGACCCGATTCCAGCAGCTAAATCACGGCTTGGCTTTACAGGAGGAGTTTGGGAATATAAAAATTGAGCAGAGGCAAAGCAACGAGCAAACGCTGGTCCAAAAGGCATCTGCCAGCAAAGCCACTCCAGGGAGCTCCTGGACAACATTACCCCAGCCTGTGATGGGAATCTGCTGGGATCTTCCCGTGCTTGGAATGCCCTGCTCCGCCCTGCCGTGAAGCAGAGCCTGTCAATGGGCTGTGCTTCCCCGTTAGCTCAAACTTAATTAGGGAAAAATAACAGCCATATGGTAATTCCAAACCCAGGCAAAACAATGTCTGCGTGTTTGGGTCTGGCATACTCAAATATTTTCCTAGAGCATTAATTTTTAATTCTTACATCAGACCCGCATAAGCAAACATAAATAGGATTTTATGCTTTCCACAATCCATCCAGCTTGTGTTTGTTGTTACATACACTGAGTAATCGCTGCCTGCCACTACTTACAGAAGAGCTGATAATAAATATTAGGACACACACTTACAAGTTAAATGAGATACAGTTAAGTAGTCGATTAAAAGGACACCCATAACCTCAGGTTACAAAATACTAAGTATTGCCGTTGTAATGTGCTTTTCTCGTTCGTTTTGGTTGCTCACCTGCCAAATCTGCCCCAGGAGGAGCAGCCAGGAGAGCCTGGAGTCTGCACTGGCTGCAGATCCGGGGTGTGAGTGGGATGAATGAGGAGAATCGGGCACAGAACATTATTCAGATAGTGCAGGGAGGTTGCTCCCCTGTGACCCCGCTGCGCTGGTGCTGCCTCAGCGGGGCTGTTCAGGCAGGAGCTGTTCACTCCCAGCTCCATCCTGGCTTCTCCTGCCCGCTGTTCACACGGACAGGGACGGGCTGAGCTCCATGTGGGCTCGCAGGAGCGCGGCGATGTCCCCGTGGGCCAGTGACAGCGCCGAGTTCCCACCCTGCAGGACACAGGAGGTGAGACATCACCATCCCAGTGAATCCCTGCTCCATCCCAAATCTTCCCTCCCTGCGTTCCTCCCTGCTTTACAGTGAGTCACCATCCCAAACCTCCCCTTGGGCCTCAACCACACCAAACACAGCCCAGCTGTGCCTCTGCCCGGCCCCCGTGCCCTCCTGCATGTCTCAGATAAAATTATAGTTTAATTGGAAAATAGTTCCATAATTCCAAACGCAGCCCTGTGGGCCCAGCAGGAGGAATTTCCGCCCGCTCCTGGCCCAGCCCCATCCCACACATCCCCACAGAGAGGCTCCGTTCTCAGGGAGGAATTAATTGCTGCTAATTTCTTGGAGCTGATGCTCTGCTGATTCCACATGCCCAGGATTTCATCTGGGATTTTTCAGGGTTACACCAATGCTCCTGGATGCAGTATGCTCTCACAGCCACCCCATCCGTGGCAGCAGCACCAAAACCAGGGGTACGCTCCTAAGAGCCATGCCCTGATTAGAAAACGGACTGAAATCTCACTTCTTCACTTAAAACCGACCCCTCAGGGATTGCTGCCCAGAACACGAGGTCCCAGCTGAGTTTCCCCCTCGCCCTGGTGCGGTGATGCCGTGGAGCCTCACCTTGTCAGTCAGCATGACCTGGCAGCCAGGCTGGGCCAGGAGCAGCCTGACGATGTCGGCGTTGCCCTGGCGACAGGCCACCATCAGGGCCGTGGTCCCCTCCTCATCCTGCAGGTTGACATCGGCCTGGCAGGACAGCAGGGCTCGCACCATGTCGTCCCTCTCGTGGCTGACCCCCAGCATCAGCGCGGTCTGGCCTCCCTGCAGGGTCACAGGGACAGGCTCAGCACCCCCTGCCCACCTCCTCCCACACCCCTGCTGGCTCAGACTGTCAGGGATGACAATAATAACAATAACAATAAAAATAACAATAATAATAGCATGTATAGAATAATTGAATAATTTAGCTTGGCAAAGCTCTCTAAGATCACTGAGCCCAGCCCTTAACCCAGCACTGCCAAGCCCACCACTAACCCCCATCCCATAACCACCTATCAACACTGCACAGCATTTATTGTGTGGTACATAGATGATAATAATTCCTATTAATATTGCATCCTATTGCATGTTATTATTAAATCACACTGGGGCTCCTCAGCAGGTGTGAGAAACACCCGTTCACTTGTGGAAGGTCCTTGCAGCAGTGTGGCCAAACTGCCCATCTGCCCCTAGATGTGGGTTCTCCAAATCCTCCTGGGAGGTTTAATTCAGACCTGGAAAAACTTTTACAGCAGTTTGGGAGCAGAGATGGATGAGGGCACTCTCATCTCTAAACCCAAATGTGTGACTCTGATGAAGCTCACCAGCAAACCTGGGGCTCCCATGCCCTGGGATTCATCCCTCACTGCTCCTCCCTGCTGCCACTTCTACTTCAGGAAAACTTGTTTGCAAAAATGTCAGCCTTTTTTAGTTTCTCCACTTCCCCCAGCTGTCACACCCCTTCCCAAGGAGCTGCTGGGTGGCCACGCTGCAACTCAGCTGAGGTTCCTTTTGGAACATTTGGGAAGCAGCAACTCCAACCCCTGACCTGCTGCCCAGTCTCCACCTGGCGCTGCCATGGGAGGTAAGGGACCCAAATTATTCCCCCAGCTGTTTCCTGTCACACACCTGGGCAGCTCTCAGGTTGACATCCCCCTCCTTCAGCAGCCTCATCACCACCTCCATGTCCTGGCGGGTCTCGGGGGCCGCCAGCGGTGTGAGCATCACGGCCGTGTATCCGGCGCGGTTCTGCAGGTCCAGGCAGCACGTGCCTGCAGGGGATGGATCCAGCCCATGGTGGATCACCCAGAGGGAATAGAAAGGAAAGAGGGAGTCACACAACGTGGGGAATCTTATATTCCCAGAAAAAGGAGTTATTCCATAATGACACAGGACAGGGATTTATCTGTTTTAAATATCCAGGCTTGTGAGCGCAGCATTAAACGGCCCCTGGTGCTACAGTTAATTACAACTGTTGAGGTCAAATCAATTAACTTTGAAGACCACAACAAATAGAAATTAAAGGGGATAATTAATGCCTCAAGCACATGCTGGTTGGAGCTGTGGGCTGTTTGCTTTGGCTCCCGTGGCAAGGGAGCAGCAGAGCCCATCACCCAACGGGCGTGGAAAACATCCTGGCCCCAATTCACTCATTTTTCACTTCAAAGAGCCCATTTCCAGCTCCACCACGAGGATTGAGCTGTCTGAGGGTGAGGGCTCTGGTCCAGCCTTGCCCTGAGGAACCAGCTGCTCAAACCCTTCCCTCCCTGTGCCTCTGTGGCAACAATTGGGTTATAGATGTGTATGATAATCTGCCATTTCCGAAACATTTCTTGGATTGTCCGGCCCATGAAAAAAGGCCAAAGTGCCTCTCTTCTCTTGGAGCACGAGCACATTTTTGCCCTGTACAAGCTCAGCTGAGATTTTTGTTCTTTCGTTGCAACACAAGAAGTTCAATAGTTTAACATGGGAGTTTTTCTGCAGTGCTGGTGGGTTTCTTGTGCTCTCATGGGTCTGATCCTCCTGCCCCAAGCCATGATCTGGCTGCTGCAGGAAGCTGGGGGCCACCCCATCCTAACTGGACTGGGGCCATCAGGGACATCCCTTTGGATACAGCATCCCTGAGCCATCCCCAAAGTCAGGCTGCAAAACATCAAGATGTGAAGGATCTAATGAGCCTTAATGTCCCTGAGGAGCCTCAGCTGGGACCCCCAGCTACATCCATGGCCCCAGAGCTGAGCTATGGATGACTATGGATGCCAGTCTTGAGGTCAGCCAGGTCTCCTGGACAGACCTCAGCCCCATCCTTGTATTTTGGATGGATCTCAGGCCCCTGTTTTTCTCCTGGATGGACCTTGCCTCCATGTTTGTCTCCTGGATGGGGCCCTTGCAGGTAGGTGGCTGTTGGTCCTCAGCCCCACCTCTGTCCCACCTCCTTTAGCTCCTGACTGAGCTCCCTGGGAGGAGCCTGGATTCCCTTCAATGTTTGCAATGTCTGGGACTGTCCATGTCCCCGTTCCCTGTGTAGGCACCACTCGTGGGACACAACCCCTTGGTGAGAGCCATTCCCTGCCCAAGGAAGGGCCTGGCTGAGCAGGGTGGCCGTTCCTACCCGTGTCCAGCAGGAGCTTTGCAACCGGGAAGTTGGAGTGGGACACGCTGTAGTGCAGAGCTGTGTTGCCGTTCCTGTCGGGCAGGTTCACCACGGTCTCCAGCAGCTGGGGCTGGATGTCCCCCAGCGCCTCCAGGTACGCTGCCACCACCTCTGGGCTGGAAGATTTGTGGCTGGACACCTGGAACCACTCCTGGGAGATGGAGCCAAGGACGTGCTGCTGCAAACACCAAGGTGTCACCGTGACTGTCCCTGTGGAGCAGTGGCTGCCCGTGCTCCTGCCCCCACGTGCTCTGGGGGCACCACCCAGCCAGCATTTAGCTTGTGGGTTTGTGATTGCTGCTACAACTTGAGGAGAAAAGAATTTCCTGTGGTAACTTGGATGAGTAACCAGATAAAACCTTCATCTTCCTTTTTTTACCCCCCCTTTTCCTCTCTTTTTCACCATTCTAAAACTGACTCAGATGTCAACTCACCCCCCTCCCTTCACAAAGCTGTCCAGGGCACAGCCTGCAATGTGCCATCAGGATAATCTTGTCCATTAAAGTGAACAAAGAGCATGAACCGTGTCTGAAACGAGATTGGGGAATATCTGTACCAGATGTTTGTTGCTTGTGCTCCTGATTTCTGGGAGGTGTTCACTGAGGAGCTGGCAGGCAGCAAGGAAATCTTCAGAGGGTTTGCATCTAAAGGGAAAAGAGTTTGGTAAATCCACCATGGGACAGGACTTGCATGAGGTATTGAAGCAAGTAGGAGAACACAGGCAGATGAGGTTGGAATATGTTCAACACATTTAAGTGTTTAAATTATTGGACACAAGTTGTCCCAAATTGACTTGACACAGATTTTAGATACAAAGCTAAACACTTAAGCAAAGGTTTAAGCCCAGAATCACAGATTTGTGTGGTCAACTTCATCTATTACAAAAATCCTTAAGGTTGGAGGGGAAAAAAAAAATCTTATTCCTGAACCTGTAAAGAACTTTACCAAAATTCTTTCCATGAGTGGGGAGAAATGAGCTAACTCACCAGACATGACTCATTGTCAAGTGTAGGGCCTGAATCAATCCCCATTAGATTCTGCAGTAACTCAGAAAATATTTAGCACTTTAATGCCTTTTCCCTTGCCTGCAGAGGTCAGCACTGCTGTTCCACCAGCAGAAGCAGCCCTGACCCAACCCTGTGTCCTGCAGCCACCACCCGGTGTCCTGGTTACCTGTGAGCCTGGTGCTGAGAGCAGGGTGCTGCTCCTGCTGATGCCTCCTGCTCATCATCATCATCCTCACTCTTCTCCCCTGAGGAAGCCTCTTTGCTTTCCCTTCCAGCCTGCTCGGGCTCCAGGTCCCCAGCTCGGCCCTCGGTGTCGGTGTCGCCATCCGAAGCGCTGTCGTCACAGCTCGTGTCTTCGCTTGACGTTGTCTCGTAGCTATTTGAGGACACCACATGTTACTCCCTCCTTCCCCAGCCACGGGGCCTGGCCAAGGCTCATTGACTCCAACGGGCCTTGGGTGAAGCCCAGGGTGACAAGCAGCGAGTTAAAAGGTCTGAGCCACAGCCGAAGTCAGGGTTAGTCTTTGTTTGGCGCCTTAAGCAGCAGGAGTGTGACAGAAGCAGTTAATGAGCAGCAGGCAAGGTTACTTCAGGGTTTGGAGGGATGTCCATCTCTCACAGCCCGGGCAGGGGCTGAGAGCTGCCTCCCTGCTGGGAGCTGTGGCAGGGTGACAGCAGCACGGCCCCTGTGGCAAGGAGGGACTGGCTGCACCGGCAGCCTCGAGGAGCACGAGACAAAAGCTGAGTTTTCATGGGCTGAATCCACCATTCCAGCAGCCCCGATAGAGATCTCTCCTCTGCTTGTCTAAAAGCATTAATATTAATAATATCTTCCACAAAACAGAACACTTCACTCTAATGGACCCCAGAACTTTCCCCAAAGTAATCAAGAGTCCTCCAGTCCCTACAAGTTGTACCCATGTGGTAGAAGCCAGCAGCTGGGCAGTCAGAGGAGCAGGATGTGAGCAGAAAGCAGCACCCAGCTGTGTGCCCAGCCCAGGGACACTGACACTGCACTCTTCATGCCAGCACACCTCAGCAGGAGATGCTGCCTCTGCTTAGCTCACAGAGTTGGATATTGGACACACCTGGAATGGGGAGCACAAACTAAAGTCTCCTTCACCCCGAGGTAATTCCTCATTTACCAAAGCAGCCTTTTCCCAACTGCTGTTGGTTTTGCTGGAGCATGGGGGCAGGTTAGTGGCAGCGTGCCCACTCAGGCAGTGCTGGCCTCCTCCAAAACCCACCAAGGCCAGTGGGAATCCTCCTAGGGAATCTTCCCATGGGATCTTCCCACCTTCCCCAGCTGGGTTTTGGATGAAGCCCCAGCAGAAGGGTGTGCAGAGAGGGTCAGTCCCCAGCGTGTCCCCGCTGCTCTGAACACACCACCACCTTTCCTTCACGGGGTTACTCACAGGTTATCAGTACTGGATTAAAGAAGGGAGAAAAGAGGCTCCATTTCAACTGGCCTTTTAATCAGGAGGTTTGGAGGGGGAAAGAGGGGGAGAAGGAATGACTTCTCCAGCGATACAGAGGGCATTCCACATTAAAAGGCAGGTTTTATCTTCTGAATGGATGCTTACCCACCATTTACCCCAACAAACTGGAGATTCTTTTTGGTCCCATTGCCTCCTGCATGGAAACCATACCCTTTCTTTTTCATGATGGATTTAAGACTTGTGGTTGGAGAGTTTTCTACCAAAATACAAAATAAAAGATTAATTAAGCAGACGTGCCATAATTAGCAATAATTATTCCCAACCTCTAGCAACAAGCTACAAATCATAACTGTAAGCATCTTACTTCATGTTATGAGAGTCTTTTGATGTCTTGCAAAACTACAGGTGCAGCTGGCCACAACCTGAACCTGCCCTGCCACCTTTAATACAGGTCTCAAACCTCTCCAGGTGACTGGGAATATAAAGGAAGTGACAGGGAATTATGTATTTGTCCTATGAATAGATTTTACTTTTGTAATACTGTTTTGGTTTTGGGGTTTTTTTTCCCTAGTTGTAATGTACTGGAAAATTCCTATATGAATCTGCTATAATACTACATGGATGAGGTTTTCCACTGGACTTTGAATAGCATCTATATATTAAGGAATAAGTCACTTGTCTATTTGCAAGTCCCTTCCCTCCCTCTCCCAGTGAACAGGCATTGGATTCCCATCTTCATACAAGCTAAAATTATTTTAGATGAAGGTCTGTGAGCGGGGACAGGTCTTTTCCCAGCCTGGTTGCTCAGTTAGTTTGACTGGTTTGGGTTCTGGAGAACTCTACAGTGATTTACCCCAGATGAGCACCAGCCTCATATTCTTGCAAACTGAGATGTCCAATCCGAATAAAAAGAATGTTTATTTGATGGAACAGCCACCAGTGTGACAGCTTTTGGAAGCTGATCCTGCATATAAATGAGCCACTGCTTTATGAGCTCCTACATAATTTTGTTTGCTGTTTTTCATGTCAGATCCATAACTTGTGATGTGCAGGGATTTGCCTTTCTCATCGTGTTTGTCGAGACTATTCCTGATCTGACTGACAACAACTGTTCCACCACACCCCACCCTGCTCCACACTGGAATAAATGGGAAAATATTTGGCCCAGACACATCGAAGCCTCGGCCAATATTATTTACCCAACTGTTGATAGTGTGTGTTGGAATTCTCCTTATCCACGGGCCCTTGCGAGGAGTAGGCAGAGAGCAGGGAGTTTAGGGAATTAACTAATTGGTTCTGGATGGAGCTGAGCTTGGAGGCCGGCTGCTTGATAGCGCTGGCCAGCTCGGGGTACCCGTGCTCCAAACACAGCCACTGCTCCTGCAGGAGCTCCTGGATCTTTTTGACATATTGCCCGATGGGGTCAACAGCCGGGACGTCCTCGTGGCCAGGGGCACCTTCCTCTTGCAGCCCTTCCCGAGGTTTATCTTCTCCAAAGCCTGCCTTGCTTCCGCCTGCATTTGGGCCAAGGGAGTTCTGGTGGTTCTGGTTGTCGTCACTGGGGTGCTCGTGGATCTGCAGCTGGGTGAAGCTCGGAGCAGGAATTCCAGCCTCCATGCTGGCTTCACCAGAACGTCCCTCTGCTCCAGCGCCCGCCAGTCCCTGCTCTCCGCACGCGCCCACCTCCGCGGCCTGCGCGTTGGTGCCGTCTGCCCCGTGGGCACCGCAGCCGATGGATCTGGTGGAGAGTGGGATATTGACATTGATGCCTTTGTCCTGGGCCTGCCTGACCCCTGTCACCTGTGAGAGCTCGGTGTTCACCGCAGCATCAAGGCACTGCAAGGCCCCGCTGCCCCGCCGCCACCGCGGCTCAGCCTCTTTGGACTTCTCCTGGCACAGCTGCTCTTCCAGCTGAGCTTTGGAGCTGGCCAGCAGCTTAATGCTTTTCTCCTTCTCCTGGATCTCATGATCCTGCTGCTCCAGCACTGCCCTGACCTGCTTGAGCTCCTCTTTCTTCTTAGCCAGCTGCTCCTCCAGCTCAGCAATCTGCTGCTTCAGTGCCGCGACCCCACCGGGCTCTCCACCATCAGGAGCCTGGGGAACACCACCCTCCTTGTCCCCTCCATCCTGGACATTCCTCTTCTCACCTTCCTTCAGCACATTCAGATCTACCTCGCTCACACTTAGCCTTTCCGCAGGGTTCACGTTCTCCTCTGCCAGCTGGGGGGCAGCCGGCGGTGCTGCTTCACTCCCGGCATCGCTCTCCTCGCCCCCGCTCTCCATCACCACCTGCAGCTGCTGGTTCTGCCAGGGGGGCTGCACGGGGCCCAGCCCCGGCAGAACCCCACCGGGATGCCCCAAGGAGCCGGGATGCGCCAAGGAGCCGGGATGCGCCAAGGAACCGTCCTGCTCCCAGCTCATCTCCCGCTGCGGGGTTACCGCGCTGCTGGCCGAGCCGGGCCGGGAGGTGCTTTCGGAGCCTCCCTGGTCGTGGCGGTGCTGCAGAAGGGTCCGGAGGGGTGAGGGTCCGGCCGGGGGGGTCTGGCCGGGGGGCAGAGCATCGGGCATGCTGGAGGCTCGCAGCAGCTGCGGCCGCGCCCGCAGCGCATCCTGCGGCCAGCCCAGCTCCGCCTGCCGCCGCGTCTCGGCCAGCAGCGCTCTCCGGCGGTAGCTCGGCTCCTCCGCCTCGGCGGGCAGCGGGGCTCGGGGGGGCTCCTCGCCCAGGGATGCCTTTCGCTGTGGGAAGGAGCAGGTGGAGGTCCAGCTCTTGCTGGGAGAGGCGCTGGAGCAGGCGCGGGAGCCGTTCTCGGGCAGGCTGAAGTTTCGGGGCAGGGTGTTGAATTTGGGCTGCTTGGCTCTGCGGTGGATGTGGACCCTCCTGATGGTGTTGCCTTTCTCGATGTCATCCACGTACTTCAGGAAGTCCAGGTCCAAGTGGAAGCCGTAGGGTGTCTCCAAGGAGTAGGGGAGGCTGCGGGGCTGCTCCCTGTCCCCATCGGGTTTGGGTGGCTGGCCATCTGCTGGAACAACCCCCAGAAAAAGAAGAAATCATTGAATTTTGGGGAAAATAATTGCTTAGAGCAGGGGGAAGATGTTTTTTTTCTTTTCATCTCAGTTTTGGGCAGGCAGGGGCTGCAGCTCATTATCGTGGAGGCTCGTGGTGAAGCTGTGCAGAGACACAGTGGCACGCACCAAGCTCTGATCTGGTTTTCCAGAGGTACATCAGGTAATTGTTGCACTGAGGAAGCCAAAAATTTCCTGAAATCATGGCTCTAATTGGCAATTAAGCAAACAGCAGGTTTTGCAGGCAGAGCTACGTGTCTGTGTAGGTACAGAGAGCTGCCTGGTGGATAATAAATCCAGCTCAATAACAGAATATGGGATCAATCTATGACAATGACATTTTTCAAGGCTTTTGGTTTGGTTTTAACTTTCCAGTGGCATAAGCAGGAAATTCAGTGCACACCAAGGAGGAAAATCATTGCCTCACTTCACCTGCAACCACCAGGTCACAAATTATTCCTTGAAAATGATGGATCTGGGCAGAGAGGCTGGACACAGACAGCGCCAGCCGCGGCCATGCGGAACACGCTCATCTCAAGGTGACCAGCTCAGCTCCCAGCACTGCTCCTAATTGAGGCAAATCGCCACTAAATGGGTGTCAGCATGTTTGCCCGCCCAGCCAGCACAGGCAAACAACAGCTCTCCACCCAAATCTCCCACTTGAACACTGTTAACACAGCCATCTCCAGCTGCAAATTTCCATCCACAGCCCCCAGGTTTCCAGCTTGGGGGTTAACAGTTCAACTTCTGCACCACCGATGGTTCCCTTTATGCAAGTCCCTGAAATCACAGTGGTTTGGGCTGCTCTGCACCTCTGAGCAAACAAGTTGGGTTTAGTGAGGAGGAGGAGGAGGCACCAGGGCCCGTGGCTGACCCCTTTGTCGCCATCCTGGTGGAGCAGATGGAGAGGATGAGGACAATTTGGAACAGATTTTGGTGCTGCTCATCACAGAGCATCACTGAGATTCTGAGGCGCTGTCTGGGTGGAAGTCAGAGGAAGGACAGAGGGAAGGCACCACTGGGGTCATCCCAGGGCACAGGAGCACAGCTGGAGGGTGGGAGCAGGGATCTGTCACAGAGCATGTGAGGACAAATATGAGCTGATCTAGAGCTGGGAGCTGCTTTGCTGCAGTTTTTAAGAAATATGCATAATAATGAACGATGCATTTTTCAACTCTTAGCCCCACATCTACAAAGAACAGGTTATTTACAGCATTTCTGGTAAGGAAATTACTCCAGGGCTTGGTTGGTTTGTTTTGGGTTTTTTTCAAGGAATAAATGAACAAATAAACATCCTGTAGGCTCCATACCTTCTGTCTTCTCCATGGTGGGGTCTAACTGGGCTGTCACTTAAACATCTTCTGGCAAGGGCTGAGGAGTCGCTTCACCCCTGAAAAAAAAGAAATGGATATTTTTAATTTAATAAAATAACACAGCCATGGGAACTTCATCTCTCCTTAAAGCCTTACAAGTCTTCAAAGGCCACCCCCTCCCACTTCCCATCTTCTGCAGCCCAGTGGTGTCCAAGAGCTTTGAAGCTGCTAAAATCAATAGCTCCTTTTCCAGAGGCAACAACTTGTGCTTGACAGACACATCCCAGGGAGCTGGTCCTTGTAAAACATCCCCTGCATTACAGAGGGTTTGATGGCCAGTGAGGACAGACAGACATTTGGGATTACTTGAGATCAATGGCACAGGGACCCTTCACTGACCCCTGTGAGCTGGAGATATCCAACATGATAAAAGATCCCTGACAACAGGGATATAAACTACACACAGAAATTACTGGTTTGCCTTTTTTTGTTTAAATCCATAACAAGCAAAGATTCAAAATTTATGCTGAATCTTGTTCAAATGACAAGACTTCATGCTGTTAAAAAGAACCTTCACCAAATTGCACTGAACCACAGACAAATTGCTTCAGCTCAGGGAACAACTTCAGGTGGAGATCCACCACAGCCAGCACTGAGATCTTCACACCATTTCTGGGCTGGGTTACCCTCCAGCTCCTTCCCATCACGTGGACCCACATGAGACCATCCTGGAGCATGAGAAATTAAGGCTGGGAAAAACCAAGAAAGGTCCTGGGTAAAGCTTTTCTCCTCCCAATCCTTTAGAAAGGCACAGGGAGGAGGCAGGGAAGGGTGAAGGAGGTTGGGGCAGTTGGACATCACAGTCCAACTGTGCTTGGCTTGTGTGAGGAGGACAACAACGCTCCAAGGGAGAAGGTCTGGTTTTAATTTCTGCTACAGAGGATGAAGTGGGAGTTTCCTGAACAGTAGGTTGTTTGTTTATGACTCTCCTTACAGTATCCAGTTTGGTTCCTGGCCAGAGACGGTTCCACAGCCGATTGGAAGTCCATCCCTGCTCCTCCAGTGCATCCCTGAGCTATGCAACATTCTCAGGGCAGGACAGAGCAGCACAAAGCCTGTGCTGAGCCAGCCCCAGCTCACACCCATCTCATGGACCAAACCACTCGAGTCTGAACTCATTTTCTGCCTGCAGAGCTTTGCCTCAGCGAGGGCTTTAACACTTGACCACAGATCCAGAGCTCCCCACAAAGGGGCTCCAGCTGACCTTTACCAAAGACCAGCTAAAAAATGAAGTCAAATCCTGCTGAATTGTTACCATAGGACATTGCCAAATCCCAAGGCCAGCTTGGACTGGCCTCTGAGTGACCTGGTCTAGTGAAAGGTGTCCCCACCCATGGAATGAGGTGATCTTCAAGGTCCCTTCCAACCCAAACCATTCTATGACTCTGTAACAAATCCTTTGAAAGATCAAAACCTTTTAAAGAAACAATTAGTTGTCAATCAGGTAGGCGTGGTTATGGTCAATGCACAGCCTTGATGGAAAATCAGGAAGGTCCCAGCCCAAGGAGAACATCAAAGCTCTCCAAAGCTCCACTGGGATCACAGAGGGTCACGTTGATGCCCACCCAGCACCTTGTGAGCTCCTGGAAAGCTCCTGATGTGCTCTCCAATTAACCACACTCCTTCTGCAAGGGGCAGCTCCTTCTGTCTCCTCCTGCCAATGAACAGCACGTGCCAAAACAAACACCAGCCTCTTTCTCAAATGTTGTTTCTTTTCCTTAATTTTCCAACTGCAGACAATTCCAGCCTAACCAGCTACACTCCACTCTTCTAGGTCATTTATTCAGAAGTGGGGGGGAAAGCCAGTGAATAGGATGGTTTTTAATATCTAGATAATTACATCTATTTGGATCATTTATGAGCTGGCCAGGTCCCAACTCTGCAGCCCAAATTGACACTACGACTACTCTCCTTTGACCAATCTTCTTCAAAATCGCCTCGTAAAAGGATGCTGAATGTACCCAACCAGCTTGCTGATGTTCTCCTGTCCCCTCTGGGGCAGCTCAGGCACGGAGAAGGATGGCTTAGAGCCAAAAATGTGCTTCTTTGGACCCCACAGCTGCTCTCCCATGCCTGTCCCTAAGAAAAATGAGATTAAAATATGAAGTCATCTGCCAGAAGTAGCAGACCCCTGCACCCAGGGTCCAGCCCATAATTTGAGGAAGGGCAACAGCTTTAGGTGCGTCTTCATCCTGCTAAAACCTGTTAGCCTGACCCTCTGTCAGGTTCTATATTTGCTGAGTTTTCTCCATTAAATAAAATTGACAACATTTCTTTTTCTCCTATGCATCGCTGATTTTCACCTTGGTTAGACAGAGAGGATTAATCCAGATTGGAATTAGGCTGTTTTTCTCAAGGCAGGAATAAATACATCAAGAAATGGAAACGGAGAAGCCAAATATGTGAGAAGGCAACAGCACAGAGCGAAGTGGTTTTATTCCCTGGGGCAGCCCGTTCGCAGGGACAATGTGCTGTCTTTTTAACCAGCCTGGACTCAAACACTTGGCTCTTTACACTCACATTTAACCCTTCTTTCACTCCATGCCACTTGCCAGGCAATGTGAGCAGCTCCACCATCCACCCCAGCCAGCAGAAAGGAGAGCACCACGACACCCCCAAACATTTAAATTACAAATTAACTCAACCACATACCACAAACATCCACAAAATCCATTCTCCCAGAGTGTCTTGCTAGTAATTTTAACTGGGAAACAGTTAACCCTGAGCCCACAGATAAGCTAATCCACCAGCACAGTCCTGTTAGCTGTAACACAACATGATGTGAGCTCTGCCTGTCTGTTCTCCTGCAGTGCAGCAGCAGCTCCAGCACTTTGTGGTGAAAGGAAAAAACTGGTTAGCAAAGCATTTTGTCATGTTACCTGCTCACGCTGGCACCTACAAACCCCCCGAGGAGCAGCAGCTCTCGCCTCCCTCCACAGCATCTTCTCCCATGGCCAGAGCCGGCAGCGAAGGGTTCGGAGCAGCAAACGTGGCGTGGCTGGACCCCAGCCTGTTCCAGCAGTTACAAAGTTGGTCAGCTGAGCTGTGACCTTGCTCAGAAAGCAAATACAAGTTTAAACCAAGAAGCACAAAAGAGGAATTGATTTTCCAACAGAGCAGCCCACGGCTCTCGGATGACCTTTACGAGGACAGTCGAATCCCGGCGCATAAAGCGAGTTACTTTTCCACGGAATAGTTACCTTTCCCAGAAAACCCAGAGCACCAAGCGCTGTCGAGGGGGGCGCTTCCTTATCAGGGCTGATAATTGGAGAGAGAGTCAATAATTAACGGCGGGGTTGTTGCCGTACCTGCTGCTGCAGCTGCAGCCCTCCGCATGCTGCACCTCCGGCTGGAGCATTAGCAATTCCACGAGCGCCTCTCCCCAGGAAACGCAGCCGGCTGCCGCGACTCGCAGCCTGGGGGAAGCTGCAGAAGGGCTCAGTGTCCCCAAATCCTCCCGGCGGAGCCGCGTTCCCACGTGTGGAGCAGGCACAGCCCCTCGCCCTTGTCCCCATCCATCCGCAGTTCCAGGAGAAGCCGGACGGGATGGACACACGGGCAGAGTGTCCCGGTGTCCCCGCGGTGGGGGGACAGTGCCACTGTCCGTATCAAACTCTCCAGCCCCTGGCTCTGGAGTTATCCATCCAAACTTCCAGCTGGCGGAGCAGACACGTGGAATGGGCTGCCTGGAGAAGCTGTGGCTGCCCCTGGATCCCTGCAAGTGGCCACGGTCAGGTTGGAGGAGCCTGGGATAGTGGAAGATGTGCCTGCCCATGGCAAGGCGTGGAAGGAGATTTAAGGGCTTTAAGGTGCCTCCCAACCCAGTCTGTGATTCTGTGATTTTGGGCAGGGTGCTCGTGGCATGTGGCTCAGTGACGGGCAGAGTGCCCATCCCAAGCATTGGCATTCCCCTCGGGCATCCTGGATTGCTGCCCCTCCAGGCTGGCAACAGGGACAAATCCCTCAGTCTCTGCACTGAACTTGCAACAACCTCACGCTTGCAAAGGCCGAGGAGTTCAGAGCTGCAAAACTCTTCCAGGGCTGGGAAAGAAAACCCTGGGAAGTGGAGGCATCCCCTGGGACCCAGGGGCTCTGCTGGGGGCTCTCATCGGGGACTCCCATCACACAGCACCTTTCCCATCGCTGAGCGAGCAGCACAACCCAAATCTCACGCTATGGAGGAAAACCACATCTTGTCACTGTGTGAGAGCAGAGCTGCTGGCGCTGCTCCAGCTCCCTGCAACCCCCCAAACGGGACTTTAACACATTAAGTTTGAAGAAAAGCAGACAAGTTTTGCCTTTGCAGGAAGCAGAGTATCTGGACGCGTAGACAACCAGCAGTGTTTGTCCTTTTGCCAGCTCTCCCCGAGGCACGGATGGGTTAAACTTCCGACCCAAGGAATGAAAAATAATTTCAGCAGCCGGTTAAATGCCGCCTTTCCCAAACACTGCCTTTCCCAAATGCCGCCTTTCCCACGCGGCTCCATCCCACACCGCACGGGGCCACGGCTCCGTGTCGATGGCTTTCTGCTTTCACAAGCAATTACTGAGCCTGAGGTTCCAAACCAACTCCAGAGCACGTTGGCTCGTTTTCTGCTGAATTCTTCTGCTTTAGTTACGCTTTTGCGTCTTTTCTGAGCACATTCTGCCACTTGTGTTCTCCAGACAAAGCAGCACGACAGAAAAAATACACGTATTTCTGTATGATGCTGATGTAAAGTCATTCTGAAAGAATTGTTTGGTTTTCCCAATGGACAGACCTAGCAGGAAGCTTTAATTTGGAGCATTTCCTCATTGCAATTACCTACAGTTGTTCCCACATTTAATCCCTCTGGAACTGAAGAAGTCTGTGACCCTTTAAATAAGCTTTTAATCGGGAGCTATGAAGGGAAGGAGTCAAAACACGCAAATTAATTAATTATGGGCTGGTGCTTGATGGATCCACATCCAGCCTCTGATAGCTTTGCCCAAGAGGGCTGCTGCAGGGTGGGAAGTGGGGAAGGGGTTCACCAAGGTTGTCCCCCAGGCATGAGAACTGAGGTCATGGCCTGAAACTGCTGCTGCTTCACATCAGGCACCGCAGCTGCCGGGGGGGTTTGCTCTGCCGGCTGCTCCCATGGATGAGAGGAACCAGATGGCCCCAAAGTGGCTCAAGAGCCATCCCATCCACCCCTCCTGGCCACCACTGCTGCCTCCCTGGATACTGCCTTCCCCTGCCCACAGAGAATCCCTGTGGGATGGCAGGTTTGGCCTTCACCCCCTCTCCTCTCCAGCACGGGTCCATCACAAAGCAGTCCAGGGACAACTGAGATCATCCAGTGCCACCTCCCTGCTCCAGCAGGGTCATCACAGAGCACCCTGCTCAGGAGTGTGTCCAGACAGGTCTGGAATATCCCCACTGAGGGAAACTCCGTGGCCTCTCTGTAAAATCTGTGCAGGGCTCGGTCACTGCCCAGGAAAGAAGTTCTGCCTCATGTTCAGGAAATTCCCAGGCATCAGTTTCTGCCCATTCCTCCTGTCCCATTGCTGGGCACCAGTGAGCACAGCCTGGTCCATCCTTGTCCATCTGACACCTCCCTTTGGATACTTATATCCATGGACGGGGCCCCTTCTCAGTCCTCTCTTCTTGAGACTGGCCAGGCCCAACTCTCTCAGTCTTTCCTGAGCACGGAGATGCTCCAGGCCCTTCCTCATCCCCACAGTCTCCACTGTCAGCTCCATGTCCCTCTTGTCCTGAGGAGCCCAGCGCTGGACACAGCACTCCAGATGTGCCTCACAGGGCTGAGCAGAGCGGTAGCATCACCTCAGGGTGACCCTCAGACAGAGCTGACCCTCGGCACCCAAAGGGTTACACCAAACCTGCTCCATCCAGGCGGTCTGGATTGCACAACAACCGGCTGAGCTACCACTGCAAATGGACATACCAGGAATAAAAATGGCCTCTCGGGGAATATTTGTTGTACGGATTTTTCAATTCTGTTTTCACTGCAGAGGAAGAAAAATAACCCACTTCCAGTCTGCTGGGGACGTGCACACGGGTGGGATCTCCGCTGTGATCCGCTGCCCGCTGGCACAGCCGCGGGAAGGAGTTTCCCTCCAGGAGAAAAAAAAAAAAGAGGTTTGAAAACTTTGTGGGATTAAATAAATACCTAGCTAAATAAAAGCAGTTTAAAGTCCTGGTTTGCAAGGAGTTGTCATGAGGTTTCTCAAAGTGAGAGCAAACAGGGCTCCTGATGGATGAGGTCTGAATACCAGGAGCCCACCAGCCACCTTTCCACATGTGTCTGGCATCACAAAATCACCAGTGGCAGTGGTCCTGTGCCCCACAGCATCCCTTGGAATGGCAGCTTGAGGGGGAAGAAGGCAGCTGAGCAGACCCAAAATTAAACTGGGGAGACCAGACAATGCCTGAGCCACTGCTATAAATCCAACAGCACCAGGAGGGAAAGCTTCCAAGCCGGATCCATCCCAGCCTGCAGCCACACCACACGTGTTGGGCAGCCTTCCCTCTGTGCTGGTATCACCCACGGCACGTGCTGAGGCAGAGCAGGACTGGATTTAGGATGCAAAACCTGTTAAGTTATGGGAAGAGCCTTCATCCTGGAGCCAGTGGATGGTCTCAGCATGTGGCTGATGACAATGGGGGCCCCTCAGCACCGGGATCTTATCACACCCCAAGAGGAAACTCCCTCAGCTGCTGCCTGCCCGGGGCATCTCCAGAGCAGAGCTGGGAGCTGGAAGCAATTTGGGAGTGCTGGAGAGGGACGAGCTCTCTCTGCAACCCATCAGCTTGTGGCTGATGATGGAGAGGTCCAGGCTGGCCTCCCACCCTCTCTGCAAAAAAAGCAGCGGAGGAGGAGGCGGATGGGGCTGGAGCTGGGGGCTGTGCGCATAGAAAACATCCTGGAGGCGTGTGGGGCCTCCCCGGGGTTTGAACGGAGACGTTCACAAGGAAGCTGAATAATGAACCCGGCAGCACTTAATAAAGAAGAGGATCTCTTTCAGCAAGCCATGGGTGTGCAACCCTTGGTACTTAAACAGCCATTTCAGGCCCCTTTCCCGACGACTGTAATAAAGCTGTGTGGACACTGATTTTATTAAAGCTGCTCGTTGCTGTCTAATAAATGTTATGAGCTTCCTGCCAGCATTTCCATTAGAGACGGGTCAGACCTGGAGGTATCAGATATCCAAACTCTCTCCTTCTTTTATGGATTACCAGGAGGGGAAAATGATCACATTCACCCCCTCCTCTGATAACCTCTTTTCCGACTGACCTCCAGCTCATTCCAGCCAAGGACTTACAAAAGCTTTGGTCGATTCTTGTGATTTTATCCCGTGCCTTGAAAACTGTGGTGTTTTCCCTAAAGTCTTCTTTCCCAGAGCCAGGCGATCACAAAAAGCACCTAAAGCCCTGAAACAAAAGTGCTCCACAGTCAGAAGGCAGACAAATATCTGAGCTGCCTCGTTTCTAATGTTTACTCTCTTTGCCTCCATCCCATAAGTTTTGAGAGAAAACAATGAAGCCCTGCTGTGGCTTCTGGTCTCTTCCAAGCTGCTGGTTTCTACCTCCTTGACCTTGGGACAAGTCAAGCTTTGCTGCCATGACACTGAGTAACTCCCACGTGGTCAAAGTGGGAAATTTTAGGTGCTTTTAGGAAAACCCTTTTGTCTGCATTTCTCTCCTCCTCCCTGGGCAACCACCGCAATCCTCCATGGACACACAGAGCCATTTCACATCGATTTCTGACCCAAGCCAACAAGACTTGGATTGATCACACTCCTGACAAGTTTAAAAACCTCTTCACACAGGAAAATTTCTTTTTCAGGCCACCTGAAATCACTGTCCTCATTGATTGGGACTGTAGAGAGGGTGGATGTGTCGCCTTCCTCCTCTGCTGGTGATTTCTGTGTGGATAACAGGAGCTGGGAGCTCTGGAGCAGGATTTCCCACCTCTCACCCATTTAGGAAATGGGGATTTTCCTCCAGGTTTTTGACCAAGTCTCAGCCACTGAGACTTTACATTGCTGGTGTAGTTTCAGCTTTCTCACTCACACCACATTCAACCCTGACAGGCAGAGGAACCAGCTGCAAAGACGAATTTAAAATATTCTCACTTTGAAGATGGAGACCTCTGTGTCTGGGTAGGTTTTTCACCATACTTCACATTTCTGATTCCACCAAATTCTCCATTTGGGCAGTGTATTATCTTAATAATGACACCACCTTCTTTTTCGTG